CTCATCCCTGTCCCCTGTGCCACTCATCCCTGTCCCCTTGTCCCGTTTATCCCTGTCCCCTTGTCCCGTTTATCCCTGTCCCCTGTGCCACTCATCCCTGTCCCCTGCGCCAGGCATCCCTGTCCCCTTGTCCCGTTTATCCCTGTCCCCTGTGCCACTCATCCCTGTCCCCCTGTCCCATTTATCCCTGTTCTGTCTATCCTTGTCCTCTGTGCCACTCATTGCTGTCCCCCTGTCCCGTTTATCCCTGTCCCGTTTGTCCCTGTCCCCAGCCCCTCTCATCCTTTGTCTCCTGTGTCATTCGTCCTGTTCCCTGCCCCGCTCATCCCCATTCCGTTCATCCCTGTCCCCTTGTCTCGTTTGTCCCTGTCACCTGCCCCACTCGTCCTTTCCTCCGTGCCACTCATCCCTGTCCCCAGCCCTGCTCATCCCTGTCCCCCATCCCATAAATTCCTGTCCCCAGCCCTGCTCATTCCTGTCCCCTGTGCCACTCACCCCTGTCTCCTGTGCCACTCACCCCTGTCCCCTGTGCCACTCATCCCTGTCTCCTGTTCAGGTCATCCCTGTCCCCTGCCCGTTCATTCTTGTGCCCTGCTCCACTCATCCTGTCCCCCACCATCGTCATTTCTGTCCCCTGTCCTGCCCATCCCTGTCCTCTGTGGCACTCACCCCTGTCCCCCTCATTTCCCACCCCTGCCCCCCTCATTTCCCACCCCTGTCCCCCACCCTGCCCATCCCGGTCCCTTGCCCACCCTTGTCCCCTGCCCTGCCCATTCCTGTCCCCTGCACTGCCCGTCCCTGTCCCCTGTCCTGCCCATCCCTGTCCCCCTCATTTCCCATCCCTGTCCCCCGTCCTGCCCATCCCTGTCCCTTGCCCACCCTTGTCCCCGGCCCCACTCATCCCTGTCCCCCACCCTGCCCATCCCTGTCCCCCACCCTGCCCATCCCTGTCCCCTGCCCACCCCTGTCCCCCACTCTGCCACGGGGATGTGGCAGATCTGGACAAGGGACTTCCAAAAGGCCATCAGGGTCCCCGGGTGAACTGGTTTCGCCTGGGGCGGCCCCTCCAGCTGCCAGCACAGACCCCCGGTGTCCCCTCCGTGTCCCCCCAGTGCTCCTCTGCGCCCCCAGCCTGTGCCCCGCAGTGCCACCGGCAGCCAGGGTCACCCACCCGGTGTCACGGTGCCACCACCAGGACCCCACGGTGCCCCTCGGCCACGGGTCGGTGCCGTGGCCGTTCCCAAAGCGCTGCCGTCCCCTTCCCGGGAGTGATTCCCGGTGTCCCCAGCTCCTGTCCCCTCTCCAGCCACCTCCGGAGCCGGGGCCACCTTGCCTTTGGAAAAGCCATCCAGGAGAAGGCAGAGCGGGAGCCCAGCTGACCCCTGACCCCGGCCTGGCCCCTCGGCCGCGCTGACCCCTGGGTCACACTGACCCCTCGGCCACGCCAACCCTTCGGCCGTGCTGACCCCTCGGTCACCCCCGGCTCTGCCAACCCCCGGGTCACACTGACCCCTCGGTCACAACAACACATCGGCCACGCCAAACCTTTGGCCACACTGACCCCTCGGCCACGCCAATCCCAGGGTCACGCTGACCCCTTGGCCATGCCAACCCATCGGCTGTGCCGACCCCTCGGCCACATTGACCCCTCGGCCACGCCAACCCTTTGGCCACGCCAACCCTTTGGCCACACCAACCCCTTGGCCATGCTGTGGCCACGCCAATCCATTGGCCAGGCTGGCCCCTTGACCACACTGACCCCTTGGCCATGCCAAGCCATTGGCCGTGCCAAACCCTTGGTCAGCCCTCAGACCCATTGACCCCTCAGCCACACTGACCCCACAGCCACACTGAACCCTCAGCCACACTGACCCCTAAGCTGTGCTGACCCTTTAAGCACCCTTGGCCCTTGGCCATGCCAAGCCCTCGGCCACGCCAGCCCATCGGCCGTGCCAACCCTTTGACCACCCTTTGGCCCCTTGGCCACGCCAACCCGCCAGCCATGCTGAGCCCCCGGCCACGCTGACCCCTTGGCCACGCCAGTCCATTGGCTGTGCCAAGTCCTTGACTACCCTTCAGCCCTTTGGCCATGCCAATCTTTCGGCCATGCCAGCCCCTCGGCCGTGCCGATCCCTTGACCACCCCTTGGCCCTTTGGCCATGCCAGCCCGTTGGCCGTGTTGACCCCTTGGCCATGCCAACCCATCGGCCGTGCCGACCCTTTGACTACCCCTTGGCCACACCAATCACTTGGCCATGCCAATCCATTGGCCGTGTTGACCACTTGGCCATGCCAACCCCTCGGACGTGCCAACCCTTGGCCACGCCAGCCCATTGGCCACGATGACCCCTTGACCACGCCAACCCCTCAGCCATGCCAACCTATTGGCCGTGCCAAGCCCTTGACCACCCCTCGGCTGTGCCAACCCCTCGGCCATGCCAACCATTGGCCGTGTTGACCACTTGGCCACGCCAACCCCTCGGCCATGCCAATCTATTGGCCGTGCCAAGCCCTTGACCACCCCTCGGCCATGCCAACTCCTCGGCCACGCCAACCCCGCGGCCGTGCCGGCCCTTTGGCCACGCCAACCCCTCGGCCACACCAATCCCTCGGCCGTGCTGACCCTTTGACCACCGCTTGGCCTCTTGGCCACGCCGACCCCTTGACCACGGCTCGGCCACGCCAACCCCAGGGCCGTGCCGCCCCCGGCCGCGCCGCCCCCCGCCCCGGGCCGCGGCGTTACTGTGATTCCTCTCATGGCTTCTCCACCACTCGGGTTTTTCCGCTGTACAAAGGGAGACACTTTTCCTTTTCTTTTCCCCCCGCTTCCAAAGGGGTTTTTTCCCCCCAAGCTGTCGATATTTTTCCGTTGTCCAGCCCGGCGCCATCGCCCCCCCTCCATCCGCCCGTCCGTTCCCCCGACTGTGACAAAGAGCAGAACCCCCCGGGGTCACTCAGCTCCCGGGGATCCCCGGCCCTGCCAGCCCCATCCGCGGCGGGGCCGCTGTCCGGCCGGCCGGCCGCTGTCCGGCCAGGCCCTCACTGCCCATGCATGTGCCACGCCCTCACGCCCGCTGCATGTGCACAGCCCGGCCCCGCCACACTCTCGGTTCCGTCCCCCAGCCGGACTCACCTGTGGGTTTTCGTTCCGTTTTTAATTTCCCAGGGTCAGTTTGACTTCACCCTTAATTTTGTATGGATTTTCGGAGGAGCTTTCTCCTTCTCCGGAGTCACGGAGGTGCGGCCATTCGCCTCCCGCCCTTGACGTTGTGATACACATCCCCCACAGAGATCTATGTTTCTTATATTATATTATTATTATTAATTATTATTATTATTATGTAATAAATTTATAAGAAAGCTCCGCCTGGTCCTGTGGTCGCTCGGATCCCGCGGTGGTCCCGACCCTACGCAGCGGGGGACAACGGGAGCCCCCGAGGGACAGAGCCCCGTGGGTGGATTTTGGGGTGTTTCTGGCTGAATTTTGGGGTGTCCCCGTTGAATTTTGGGGTGTCACTGAATGAGTTTTGGGGTATTCCTGGTTGAATTTTGGGGTGTTCCTGGATGAGTTTTGGGAGGTTCCCAGTTGAATTTTGGGGTTTTTCCAGCTGAATTTTTGGGTGTCCCTGCGTGAAATTTGGGGTGGCCCGGGTGAATTTTGGGGTGTCCCTGGCTGAATTTTGGGGTGTTCTCAGTTGAATTTTAGGAAGTCCCGGCTGAATTTTTTTGAGGTGCCCCAGTTTAATTTTGGGATCTTCCCAGCTGAAATTTGAGGCGCCCCTCAAATTTTGGGGTGAATGAATTTTGGGTAAGATGGGAGGGATGGATTTTGGGGTATCCCTGGGTGAGATTTTGGGGTGTCCCTGGCTGAGTTTTGGGGTGCCCTGGCTGAGTTTTGGGGTGTCCCTGGCTGAGTTTTGGGATGTTCCTGGGTGAGATTTGGGGTGTCCTGGCTCCCACAGGTGCCGCACCAATGGCTCGAAGCCACTGTCCCCAGTGTCACACCCCCATCAGGTCCCAGCCACCCGCTGGTGTCCCCAGGGCCAGGGCAGGGGGGGACACTCGTGGGGCACAGCCAAGGGACAAAGGGACAGGGAAGGGGCTGGGGGTCCCCACTTTTCTGGGTGTCCCCAACTCACCTGAATGTCCCCAACTCATCTGGGTGTCCCCAACTCATCTGGGTGTCCGCCCTGCCCTGGATGTCCCCAGGAGTGTCCCAGCAGTGTCCCCACCCCCAACACTGACCCCAACACTGTCCCCAACAACTGTCACAGCAATGTCCCCAACAGTGTCCCCAGCACTGTCCTGAGCAGTGTCCCAGCAGTGTCCCCAGCCCTGTTCCAGCAGTGTCTCAGCCCTGTCCCAGCCTTGTCCCAGCCCTGTCCCCACCCCTGTCCCACCCCTGTCCCCTCCTGTCCCCGGGACTGTCCCCAGCTCACACCAAGCATATATTTTATTGAAAGACCAAGTGGGTGACAACGGCGTGGGGACAGCCGGGGTGGCACAGTGGCTCGGGGGCTCCTCTGGCTGCTGAGTACAGATAAATACCGGGACATCGAGCGGGTGGCGATATAGTCACGATAGCGCTGGGCGACAGGGCCGAAGCGAGGGACCACCAGGCACAGCAGTGAGGAGGGGGCGGCCCCGGGACCCCCCCGGGGCCCGAGCTCGGTGGCGGGGGCGGGGGGGTGGGGACAGCCGGGGACACCGACACGAGGGGCAGCACACCCGGGGCGGGGGGGGCGGCTCTGGGGGATCCCCGTTCCTTTGGGGGGGCAGCGCGGATTTGGGGGTGCGCGGAGATGCCCCCTCCCCTCCCCCGAGCTGCCCCCGGACCCCCCCCCCCCCGGACCCCCCCGTGCCCCCAAAGCCGCGGGCCCGCTGCCCCCCGGGCTGGCCGTGCTCATGCAGGGGGGGCTGCTCGGGCCGGGCCACCCCCCCGCTGGGCTGTGTCACCCCCCGAGGGGACCCCCGGACCCCCGAGAGATGGGGGGGGCGTGCGGGGGGGGGCGCGGGGGGCCAGAGACTCTGGGGTCACACAGAGAATCCCTGGGGGTCACACAGGGTCCCTGGGGGTCACACCGAGTCCCTGGGGTGACACAGAGTCCCTGGGGTGACACAGAGTCCCTAAGGGTCACACAGAGAATCCCTGGGGTCCCACAGAGGCCCTAAGGGTGACACAGAGTCCCTGGGGATGATGCAGAATCCCTGGGGTGACACCGAGTCCCTAAGAGTGACACCGAGTCCCTGGCGGGGTGGCCCCGGGTGCCGGGGGTGGCCCCGGGTGCCGGGGGTGGCCCCGGGTGCCGGGGGTGGCAGGGACCCTACTCCAGGTAGATGTCCTCTGTGGGGCAGGCGTACTCCAGGTGCTCCTGGTAATATTCCTGAAACGCTCGGCTGGGGGGGCAGGGATGGGGAGGGGGGGTCAGCGACGGGAGGGGGCACAGAGCGGCACCCCCAGACCCACTGAGACCCTGAAACAGGGGGCTGGGACCCCCAGAGCTGGACCCCGGGACCCACAGCACCCCCAAACCTGGCACAGCCGGACCCCAGCTCCCACAGCCCCCTAAACATGGCACAGCCAGACCCACAGCACCCCCAAACCTGCCACAGCCGGACTCACAGCCCCCCCAGACCCCCAAACCTGGCACAGCCGGACCCACAGCCCCCCCAAAGCTGGCACAGCCAGACCCCGGCACCCACAGCCCCACAGCACCCCCAGTCTCTTGGCACACAGAGCCCCCATTCCCAACCCTCAGCACCCCAAAACTCCCGCACCCCCTGATCCCAGCCCCAGTACAGCCAGACCCCCCCTGCCCCCCAAAACGCTGCACCCAGACCCCAATGCCCTGACACCCCAATGCCCTGACACCCCAATCCCTGGCACCCAAACCCCAATCCCTGGCACTCCCAATCCCCTGGCACCCCAATCCCCCAAAACCTCCAGCCCCAGCAGCCATGCCTGCCCCCCGTGCCCCCCATGCCCCTCATGTCTCCAGTGCCCCCCAGTGTCCCTGTACCCCCCATACCCCCCATACCGCCCATGCCCCCAGCCCCATGTCCTGCCCCCCATGTCCCCTGTACCCCACAGTGTACCCGTGTCCCCCATGTCCCCTTTACCCCCTGTAGCCCCGGTGTCCCCATGTGCCCATGCCCCCCATGTCCCCTGTGTCCCCCATGTCCCCCGTACCCCCTGTGTGCCCCCAGCCCCATGCCCTGCCCCCGTGCCCCTGTAACCCCCTCACCCCCTGCCCCCATGTCCCCCATGTCATCTACACTCCCTGTACCCTCCATGTCCCCTGTACCCCCCATGTCCCTTGTACCCCTGCTGTGTCCCGGTGTCCCTGTGTCCCCTATGCCACTCATGTCCCTCATGACCCCAGTGCCCCCCGTGTACCCGTACCCCCCATAACCCCCGTGCCCCCAGCCCCATCCCAGCCACCCCATGTCCCCCGTGTCCCCTGTAGCCCCGGTGTCCCCATGTCCCCCATGTCCCCTGTACCCCCCGTTTCCCCCATGTCCTCTGTACCCCCCATGTCCCCCGGTGTCCCCTGTACCCCCCGTTTCCCCCATGTCCCCCATGTCCCCTGTACCCCCCATGTCCCCCATGTCGCCCATGTCCCCTGTACCCCCCATGTCCCCCATGTCGCCCATGTCCCCTGTACCCCCCGTGTCCCCCGGTGTCCCCTGTCCCCCCCGGTGTCCCGGTGCCGTACCCGACACACTCGGCCACGTGTCTCATGGACTCCTGTGACACGAACACGTGGCAGGCGAAGCGGCTCAGCACCGGGTGCTTGGTGATGAACCCAAAATAGCTGCGGGTGTGGGGGGCCCGGGCTCAGGGGGCGCCCCCAAACCTGCCCCAGGCAGGCTCTGCCAGGGGACACCCCCAGAGCCCCGGGACAGCCACCCCAGGGACACTGGGGCGGGCAGGGGGCTCTGGGGTGGCACCACGGGGGTCCCTACGTGGGGTGGGGGTCACTTGGTGTGTCCCTAAATGCAATGAGAGTCCCTTGGAGCCCCTGGGTATGGTGGGGGTTCCTGGGGGTGCCCCTGGCAGGGTGGGGGTTCCTGGGGGTGCCCCTGAATGGGGTGAGGGTCTCCTAGGGTGCCCCTGGCAGTGTGGGGGTCCCTGGGGATGCCCCTATATGGGGTGAGGGTCCTTTGGGGTGCTCCTGGGTGGGGTGAGGGTCCCTTGGGGTGTCCCTGGATGGGGTGGGGGTCCCTTGGGGTACCCCTGGCAGTGTGGGGGTGTCCATTGGGGTGTCCTTAAGTGGGGTGAGGATCCATTGGGGTGCTCCTGGATGGGATGAGCGCCCTTTGGGGTGTCCCTGGATGGGGTGGGGATCCCTTGGGGTGTCCCTGGGTGGGGTGGGGGTTCCTTGGGGTGTCATTAGGTGGGATGAGGATCCATTGGAGCGCTCCTGGCAGGGTGGGGGTCCCCTAGGGTGCCCCTGGGCAGGGTGGGGGTCCCTGAGGGTGCCCCTGGGGGCAGGGGGGGCTCACCAGCTGTTCCGGGGGTGGCACCCACAGAAGGAGATGTTCTTCATCTGGAAGAAGTGGCTGCAGCGCTCGAACTGCGGCAGGACAGGGGCACAGGAGGGGCTGGGTCAGGCCTGGGGGCCCAGAGCCCCCCAAAATCCATGCCCACCCCTCAGCATCGGCCCCCAAACCCACAGCCCTGCAGCCTGCACCTGCCAGGCACCCCCAAATCTGCTCCACTCGCCTCCAGACCCCTGAGCCCCCCCAAAACCCACCCCCCACATTCCTCCTGTCCTGATCACCCCCAAACCCCTGAGCCCCTCATTACCTCCTTGCCCCCCAAACTCGGACCCCCAAAGCCCTGACCTCGTGGTCACCTCCAAATCTGAGCCCCTCATCACCCCCCAAACCCACCCCCACATTCCTCACCTCCCCATCACCCCAAAACTCTCTGTTGCCCCCCCAAACCCACACTCCTGAGCCCCTCTCCTCCGTGTCCCTCCAAACCCAGACCCTGTCCCTTCCTGTCCCCCCAAACCCAGAGCCCTGTCCCCCCCATGTCCCCCCCAAACCCAGACCCCTGTCCCTTCCTGTCCCCCCAAACCCAGAGCCCTGTCCCCCCCATGTCCCCCCCAAACCCAGACCCTTGTCCCCTCCTGTCCCCCCAAACCCAGACCCTTGTCCCCCTCCTGGTCCCCCCAAACCCAGAGCCTTGTCCCCCTCTGTCCCCCTAAACCCAGACCCCTTGTCCCCCTCCTGTATCCCCAAACCCAGAGCCCTGTGCCCCCCTGTCCCCCCTAAACCCAGACCCCTGTGCCCTCTGTGTCCCCAAACCCAGACCCCTGTCCCCCCTGTCACCCCAAACCCAGACCCCTGTCCCCTCAGTGTCCCCCCAAACCCAGACCCCTGTCCCCTCCTGTTCCCCCAAACCCAGACCCCTGTCCCCCCTGTCTCCCCAAACCCAGACCCCTGTCCCCTCCTGTACCCCCCAAACCCAGACCCCTGTCCCCTCGGTGTCCCCGCAAACCCAGACCCCTGTCCCCTCCTGGTCCCCAAACCCAAACCCCTGTCCCCTCCATGTCCCCCCCAAACCCAGACCCCTGTCCCCTCCTCTATCCCCAAACCCAGACCCCTCTCCCCTCGGTGTCCCCCCAAACCCAGACCCCTGTCCCCTCCTGTACCCCCCAAACCCAAACCCCTGTCCCCCCCGGTCCCTCCAAACCCAGACCCCTGTCCCCTCAGTGTCCCCCCAAACCCAGAGCCCTGTCCCCCTTGTCCCCCGGTGCCTGACCTCGTGCTCGGGGCTGTACTCGGTGACGGTCAGGATGAGTTTGATGCCCTGCAGTGTCACCTCCAGGTCACAGCTGGCCGGGGGCCGCAGGTGCACCGTCAGCTTCCGCGTGGTGGCGATCTGGGACAGCGGGGAATGGCAGCAAAGGGAAAATTATAAAATATTTAAAAGAGATTGTGACAGGGAGCCCTGTGGGGTCAAGGCTGGGGCCTGCTCCCTCTGAAAAGCACGGCTCAGCAACAGCTCCCAAGTTCTCACACCAAATTTATTATTATTTATTAACTATTAATTTATTATTATTATTATTATTATTATTATTATTATTATTATTATTATTATTATTATTATTGTTAATGTTAATGTTAATGTTAATATTATTAACTTTTCATATTATTAACTGAATTTTCATGTTATTGACTTTTCATATTATTGACTTTCATATTATTATTATTATTACTGCTGTTATTGCTGTTGTTATTGTTGTTGTTATTATTATTATCTGACTTTTCATATTATTATTATTATTAACAGACCTCTATTATTATTATCTGACTTTTCATCTAATCAATGGTACATTGTTATTATTATTATTATTATTATTATTATTATTATTATTATTATTATTATTATTATTATTTTCATATTATCAACTGACTTTTCATATCATTATTATTATCACCAACTGACTTTTCATTCTCAAGATTGTTTCGCCATCTCGAGAATGAAAAGTCAGTCAATAACAATTTATTTATTCCTGGGTAGAAAACAGGCTGTGCCTCTAATAAGAAGAGGAGATCTGTTCCATGAGAATGAGCAGAAAAGGCGTGGAAATGGACTAAAAATAAAGAAGTTTGACAGATATGTGAAATAGTGATGAACTGAGTGTGTGTTGTTAATTACAATTAGATCTGACAATAATAATAATATCATCTTAATCATATCATATCACATCATATTCATATCACATTATATTCATATCAATCATATCATATCACATTGTATATTATACAGTTATTCTATATATTTATATAATTACTCTATATTATATATGTTTGTGTTTAGATAATATTTATATTATTTAATAATATTGTTATTTATATGACATTAATTGTATTATTTATTACTATTTCAATTATTTATATTATAAATATAGAATCTATTTTATGTATTAATATATTATATATAACATTTAATAGATAATATTACAATTAATAATTATAGCATATAATAATTTGCATAATTAATATATAATTAACACTATAATATATTTATACTATTTATACTATACTTTTATTATTATTTTATATAATAATTATTATATTATTATATAGTTATAATTATTATATAATAATATAATACAATGATATTGCTTTAACATAATTTAATAATTATGGTATATTTATTTTATCTATAATCATAATATAAATTATATTATATTATATTATATTGTATTATATTATATTATATTATATTATATTATATTATATTATATTATATTATATTATATTATATATTATAGTACACATAATCGATTTTATAATATTAATTATTAAATATACAATAATCAACGTATACTAATAAAAATACCTTCTGATAATGCCATCAAATATGAGCTGTGCCATAGAAAACACAAACCCAGGTTTTCTGCCCAAAGGAGCAGGTCCGGCCGTTTTTGGCCCGCTCGCTCACCTTCTGCATGGCCGCGCAGAGGATGCCGTTGCCCTGGTGGTACGGGACCTCCACGGAGCCCAGGAACTGCACGTTGAACCGCTCCACCCAGCACGGGTTCCGCTTCAGGCCTGCGGCACGGCGGGGCAGCGTGAGGAGCCGCGGAATCGGGGATCGCGGAACGGCGGAATGTGGGGATTGCGGGATCACGGGGACACACGGGATCGGGGAATCGCGGAATCGGGGATCGCGGAATGGCGGGATGCGGGGATTGCGGGATCACGGGGACACACGGGATTGGGGAATCACACAATCAGGGATCAGGGAACGGCGGGACGCGGGGATTGCGGGATCACAGGGACACACGGGATCGGGGAATCATGAAATTAGGGAATTACAGAATGGCGGCATGTGGGGATTGCAGGATCACAGGGACACACGGGATCGGGAAATCGCGGAATCGGGGATCGCGGAACGGCGGGACGCGGGGATTGCGGGATCACGGGGGCACACGGGATCGGGGAATCGCGGAATTAGGGAATTACAGAATGGCGGCATGTGGGGATTGTGGGATCACAGGGACACACGGGATCGGGGAACCGCGGAATCGGGGATCGCGGAACGGCGGGATGTGGGGATTGTGGGATCACGGGGGCACACGGGATCGGGGAATCATGGAATCGGGGATCAGGGAATGGCGGGACGTGGGCATTGCGGGATCACGGAGACACACGGGATCGGGGAATCGCAGAGTCACACAGAATCAGGGAATCACACAATCAGGGAATTACAGAATGGTGGGATGTGGGGATTGCGGGATCACGGAGACACAGGATCGGGGAATCACACAATCACAGAATCAGGGGATCACACAGAAACAGGGAATCACAAAGAATCAGGAAATCACACAATAACGGAATCACACAGAATCAGGGAATCACACAATCACGGAGTCATGGAGTCACACAATCACACAGCATCATGGATTCACATAATCACAGAATCAGGGAATCATGGAATCTCAGGATCACAGGATCATGGAATCATGGAATCACACAGAATCACACAGTCAGAGAATCGCAGGATCACACACAATCAGGGAATCATGGAATCACACAATCAAACAATCATAAAGAATCACACAATCAATCACACAGGATCACAGAGGATCACAGAGGATCTCACAGAATCTCACTGAACCACACACAATCACACAGCATCACAGAATCACACAGTCAGGGAATCAAGAGAATCACACAGTCAATCACACAGTCAATCACACAATCACACAGTCAATCACACAATCACACAATCAATCACACAGTCAGTCACACAGAATCACACAATCACACAATCACAGAATCCCTGGCTTGTGAGAGACCCTCAAGGCCATGGAGTCCAGCCCAGCCCCTGGCCCCCAGTGCCACATCCAGGCTGTCAAACACACCCAGGGCTGGGGACTGCACCACCTCCCTGGGCAGCCATTGCAGAACTTGATCCCCCTTGCTGGAAAAGCTTTTTGCTGCTCTCCAGCCTGAATTTCCCTTGGCACAGCTCGAGGCTGTGTGCTCTGGCTGTGTCAGTGCTGCTGGAGAAAGAGCCCAAGGGCAGCTGAGCACAGGCACCTTTCAGGAGCTGCAGAGAGCGATGGGGGCAGCCCTGAGTCTCCTTTGCTGCAGGCTGAGCACCCCCAGCTCCCTCAGGGGCTCCTCTCAGGCTTTGTGTTCCCAGCCCCTCTCCAGCCTCGCTGCCCCTCTGGCCCCGCTCAGTGTCCCCAGGCCCTTCCCAGGCTGAGGGGCCAGAGCTGGGCACAGCCCTGGAGCTGAGCCCTCCCCGTGCCCAGGGCAGGGCACAGTGACCTCCCTGCTGTGCTGCCCTCACTGCTGACACTGCCAGGGCACAGTGACCTCCCTGCTGTGCTGCCCTCACTGCTGACACTGCCAGGGCACAGTGACCTCCCTGCTGTGCTGCCCTCACTGCTGACACTGCCAGGGCACAGTGACCTCCCTGCTGTGCTGCCCTCACTGCTGACACTGCCAGGGCACAGTGACCTCCCTGCTGTGCTGCCCCTCATTCCTGACACTGCCAGGGCACAGTGACCTCCCTGCTGTGCTGCCCCTCATCCCTGACACTGCCAGGGCACAGTGACCTCCCTGCTGTGCTGCCCCTCACTGCTGACACTGCCAGGTGCCATTGGCTCCTTGGCCACCAGGGCACACCAGGGCTCCTGTCCTGCTGCCCACCAGGTCCCTCTGTGCCTGGCACTGCCCTGGCCACGCCGACCCCAGCCCAGAGCCAGGCTGGGGCTGTCACTGTCACTGGGCCCTGAACTGGAGCCAGCCACGGGCCCTGCTGGCCAAGAGGGCCATGGAAGCCATTGGCAGGCACTGCTCTGTACTAACTTCTGCAAATTATTGTAATTTAGTAACGTTTGTAATCTCTGTTTTAATCATAGAGATTATTTAGTCTATGTTAACTTTATAGATTATTTATTCTATATTAATTTATACATTATTTGTTCTTATATTATATATAAATTACATATTACTTAAGTATTTGTATATTTTACGTAGTATTTACATATTATTTATTCTTTATACATCATTTATATTTATATTTATTAAATTTATATATTATTATATATTATATTATATTATATTATATTATATTATATTATATTAATTATATTATATAACATATAGATATATATATATATCTTTTTATATATTGTAATATATTATTTATCCTATATTAACTTTTAAAAATTATTTTCATTTAGGACAGTTTATAATCTCTTTTTAAATAATATATATTTATTCTATGTTAACTTGATAGATTTATTCTATATTAACTTATACATTATTTTATATTAAATATAAATTGTTTATACATTTATGTATTTTATATAGTGTTTACATATTATTTATCATTCATATATTATTGATATTTTATATATAATAAATGTATATATTATTATTTATTATTAAATGTTGATCTATATTTTAATATATTATTTATCCTATATTAACTTTTGAAAATTATTTTAATTTAGGACAGTTGATAATCTCTTTTTAAATAATATATATTACTTATTCTATATTAACTTTATAAATTATTAATTCTATATTAACATATATATTATTTATTTACATATTATATATATCAATTACTATTGACATTATATATTATATAACTTATACATTATTTCTATATTAATATATTTTATATTATTTATATATTATTTATTCTTTATATATTTTTATATATTTTATGTAGATTACATTTATATATTATATATTTTATTTATTTTCTAAGATACTATTTATTATATATTAACTTTTGCAAATTATTTTAATATAATTAAAATTTGCAATCTCTTTTTAAATATAATAAATTATTAAATCTCTTTTTAACTACTTTTGATATAATTTGATATAATTTGTCATTTTTTATATAATTTCTCAGCCTTTTGTGGTCAAAACCCTAATCCCTGTGTAGATTGTATATTTTGGTGTGATAATTATATATTATTGTTTCAAATAATAAATTATATATAAGTGTATATTATAGATATATTAGTTTAAAGTGTAATTATTTTAAATTTTGCTTTCACAAAATATTAATATAGAAGCTACGTGCTGTGTGCTGTAACATTAACTTTCACAACAGTAATTTTAGTTATGAAATACTAACTAATGCTTTTATTTTTGGAACTAACTGACAGTAGTGTGCGAGTAACCCAGATAAGTTTGTGAAAATAACTAAAACTCTCTGTGTGATCAAATAAATTGAAAAAACCACACAGATAATAGGGGAAAAAAAGATGTAAAGAAGATTTCTGCCACTGACCCTTCAACTATCAATAACTCCCCGTTTGTTGTGAAGAATTACATACACATTGGGAAAAAATAGCATAAACATTGTCCAAAAATGCCATTCACCACTCCCAAAAATCAAATATTCACCATTGCACAACAGGTCAGGGGTGGAACCAAACTAAAAAGTGCCCAGAGGATGTAAAAGAACTCAAAAACGTTTAAATATGTATAAGCCTCATAAATAGGTATGCAATCAATGCAATATAAATAATATATAATTTATAAATAATATATAATTTATATATTATATAGAAATAAATAATGTATAAGTTAATATAGAATAAATAAAGTCAATATAGAAAATCAATATAGAAAAAAATCCATATAGAAAAACATCAATATAGAAAAATAAGTATGGAAGTAATAGAAATAAATTTGGAAATAAATATAGAGATAAATGTAGAGATAAATATAGAAATAAATATAGAGATAAATATAGAGATAAATATTGAAAAATCAATATAGAAAGAAAATCAATATAGAAAAATAATATAGAAATAATAGAAATAAATATAGAAATAAATATGGAAATAAATATAGAGATAAATGTAGAGATACATATAGTAATAAATATAGAAAAATAAGTGTAGAAATATAAATCTAGAAATAAATAGAGAAATGAAATTGGAAATAAATATAGAAAAATAAATATAGGAAAATAAAATCTAGAAATAAATCTGGAAAGAAAATTTATATAGAAAAATAAATCTAGAAAGAATAGAAATAAATATAGAAATAAATAACAACAAATCAATATAGAAAGAAAATCAATACAGAAAAATAAATATGGAAATAAAAGAAATAAATCTAGAAATAAATCTAGAAATAAATATGGAAATAAATATAGAGATAAATGTAGAGATAAATATAGAAATAAATCTAGAAATAATAGAAATAAATCTAGAAATAAATAACAATAAATCAATATAGAAAGAAAATCAATATAGAAAAATAAATATGGAAATAAAAGAAATAAATAATATAAATAAATATGGAAATAAATCTAGAAAAATAAATATAGAAAAATAAATACAGAGAAAGAAAAATTATTATAATAAAGCAGTGTGACCAAGCTACGGCCGCACCCCCAACGCTTTTATCACTCATGAAAAATTAAAGACACTAAAGAGCAGAGCTGCTTTCCCCCAGAGAGGGCCCCCACGCCCCCAGCCCCCTTCCCATCCCGGGGTCCCTGTGCTCGTACCGACGGCGTCGCGGGCCTGCCCCACCACCTCGTGGGCGTAGAAGGCGGGGAAGATGCCGCGCTCGCCCGTGCGCATGTTGTAGCCCCGGTACCAGTAATCGTCCTCCTCCAGCTCCACCAGGATGGGGTCGTCCACGTCCAGCTCCAGCTCGTCCTCGTGCCGCGGGATGAACCTGGGGGGACATGGGGGGGACGTGGGCAGCCCCAAAGTCACTGCCATGATGTCCGGGTCATCCCAAAGCCACTGCCCTGAGCTCCTGGTCAGCCCAAAGTCACAGCTTGGCACCCTCAGGTCACCAGCACCCCAATGCCACTGCCCTGATCTGGTCAGCTCCAAAGCCATGGCTCAGCACCACTCAGATCACATCACCCCCCAAAGTCACTGCCCCGAGCTCCTGGTCAGCCCAAAGTCACTGTCCTGACCTCATGGTCAGCCCCAAAGCCACTGCCCCGAGCTCCTGGTCAGCCCAAAGCCACTGCCATGATGTTCTGGTCAGCCCCAAAGCCACTGCCCTACCCTCCTGGTCAGCCCCAAATTCACAGCCTTGCCCTCCTGGTCAGCCCAAACTCACTGCCCTGACCTTGTGGTCAGCTCCAAACTCACAGCCCTGCCCTCCAGGTCAGCCTCAAATTCACAGCTCTGCTCTCCTGGTCAGTCCCAAAGCCACAGCCCTGATCTTCTCATCACCCCTAAGGCCACTCCTCTTGGCCATTCACCAAAAATCCACCCCGCTACACCCCTGACCTGGGCACCCCCAAACCTAAACCCACACCCCTTCCCCTCCTGGGCACCCCCAAACCCAAACCCACACCCCTTCCCCTCCTGGGCACCCCCAAATCCCCAGCTCCGTCCCCCTCATCACCTCCTCACCCCCCATGCTCAGATGCCACCCCAATGTTGTGGTCACCCCCAAACCCAGGGACAGCCACTCTAGCAGCAGGCAGGGGGCCCTGGGGTGGCACTGCAGGGTCCTGGGTGTCCCCAGCAGGGGCTGGGGGTCCCTTGGGTGTCACCTGGGGTGGCCTCACCTGAAGACAGCGCGGTGGGTCTGCTCCCGCTCCTCCCCGTTCACCATGCAGGAGAACAGCCCGAAGGACTCTGTGCCTGTGGGGACAGCAATGCCAGGGACACGGGGACAGCTGCCCCCCCCACGGGGACACCCCCACCCATGTCCCTGAGGGGCACTCGAGGGGTCAGAACCCTCCTGGGGGTCCCACCTGGGCCCTGCCCAGCAGAGCAGGGCTGGGGACCCCTGTGGTCACTGTGAGCCTGCCCTGTCTCCCATGACATGTCACGACATGCCGTGACATCCCAGATGTATCGTGACATATCGTGACATGACATGGCACACGGGAATGGTGCCAGGGACAGGACAGGGAGGGCAGCTGGTGTGAGAAGAGCCAGGACAGCATGGCACATGTCATGACATCCCGGGACATATCATGACATCCCAGAACGCCATGACATGCCGTGACATGTCGTGACATGCCACAACAGAGTACACGGGAATGGCTGGAGAAGGACACAGAGGACAGCCGGAGTGCCAGGGTCACCCAGACCAGCCCAGGACACCATGACACGCCGTGACACATCACGACATGACACCGCCACTTACTGGAGGAGCGCGAGGTGCTGTTGACAAAGACGTTGAGGAACTTCTTGGAGAACTGCAGGTCGGCCTCGGGGGACGAGTCCTCGGAGGAGCTGCGCACGTCGGGGGCCACCAGCCCGTCCCCAAAGGCCACCTCGTCATCGCAGGCCCTCAGGATGTCGCTGTCGTCGCTGAGCACGGACGTGCAGCGCCGCAGGCTGACCAGCTCCAGCTGCGTGTGCTCGTCCACCACCAGCGTGTACTTGACCGAGTCGTAGGCCAGCGACTCATCCAGTGCCGGCGGCTCCGGCGGCACTGGCGCCTCCCCGGCCGGGCTGCCCCGGCGCGAGGCCACCAGGGCCGGCTCGGCCTCCTCCAAGGCCATGGTGAAGCCGCGGTTGGTCTTGGCCGTGGACACATCCAGCGCGGTGGGGTCGGTGTCGGGCGCTAACCGGACGTCGTCGATCATGGAGTCGGCCTCCAGCACGCCCGAGTCCAGGTCCCCATCGAGGGCCCAGCGCCGGGGGCTGGCGGGGCGGCGATCCCCGCCGGTGACGGCGGGCTCGGCGCCGGGGGACGCCCGTGGGAGCGAGGCCGGGCAGCAGCCCAGGGTGGCCAGGACCTCGGAGGCGTCCAGGCGGCCGAGGGCAACGGGGCGGCCGGGGCACACGGGCGCGATGGTGTCGTTGGTGGGGTTGCTGAGGAACAGGAAGGGCCCTGGCTCCTCGGCCGGCGGCTCCGGCGGCGGCTCCGCGGCCGCGTGCTCGGCCTCGGCCAGGGAGCTGCGCAGCGTCTCCATGTCCACCAGCTCGATGGCGCCGCGCTGGCACCGCGCCCCCGGGGCCGTGTCCGCCAGCGCTGCCGGTGAGTCCCGCGGGCCCGGCTCCTCGTCCAGCGCCTCGCTCAGGATCTCGGGCTCCAGGTCGGAGGCGGGCGAGATGGTGTCGCACAGCGAGTGGCTGTTCTGGAAGCACTCGTCCGGGCACTTGATGGGGTACGAGCCCTCCGAGATCATCTTGTTCACCAGGTTGCTGAGCAGCCACGGCGAGTCCGAGTCCTCGCTCAGGTCAGGCTCCGACTCCGAGTCGGAGTCGTACTCGCTGTTGTCCTCTTCGTCCGCCTCGGGCATCAGCTTGGGCCCCACGGGCAGGTAGAAGGAGCGGCGGATGCTCTCCAGGCTGTGGTCGGGGTCGATCTTCAGGTCCAGGGGGCTGGCGCTGGACACGTCGGTCTGGCCCTCGGGCGCGGGGCCGTCGGCCGGGTCCAGGCTGTCGTAGTAGGCGTCCATCTTCAGCTCGGCCAGGCTCTCCCTCCTGAGCACGCCATGCTCTGGCGGGCCCATCTCTGCCGGCTCCTCCTCGTCCTCCTTGCCCTTGTCGAGCAGCAGCGAGTCCTTGATGCCCAGCAGGCCGGGCGCCTCCAGCTCGGGCTCCAGCTCGCCCTCGGAGCCGGGCGAGCTGGCCTCCTCGATGGAGTTGGTCAGGTGGGACGAGCGGCCGCTGCTGCTGTCGCTGCTGAGGTCCAGCTCGGTCTCCGAGATGGACGAGATCATGTTGCTGACCAGGCGCCCGCCGGCGAAAGCCGCCTCGAGCTCCCCGTCCACGTCCGAGTCAGAGCCGGGCGAGCTGAGCTCTTCCCCGCGCCGCCCGCCGGGCAGGAAGGGCTTGGCCGTGCGGCTCGTGAGGTCGGCCTCGATGCCCGGGTCCGAGGAGGGCGAGGTGGTCTCCGAGGAGCCCGAGGGGTGGCCGCGCACGCTGGCGGCCCGGCCGGACTGGGGGCCCTCCCCGTCGGAGCTGAGCGGCTCCGCGGGAGCCCCGTCCCGCTCCGGCCGGGGGGGCCGCGGCTGCGGCTGCGGGCGGGGGGACCCCGGGCTGCCGCCGCCCTGGGGCTGCGTGGGGGCCTGGGGGGCGGCCTGGGGCGGGGGGGCGGCCTCGGGGGCGCCGGGGGGAGCCGCGGGCCCTGTTGGAGAGAGACAGGGGTGAGGCGGGGGCGGCTGGCGGGGGCGCGGCGGGGAGAGCGGAGCTCGGAGCGCAGCGGAGATGAGGTTCATGTTAAAATCGGGCGCGGCTCTCGGGGGCGATGGGTTACCATGTGCCAGGGACTCGGGGCTGTTGCCTTGCGAGTCCAGGGGGGAGGGCGGCAGCGAGGGGGGAGCCCCCCCGGGGCCCGGCGGGCTCTCCAGGCAGGGTCCGTCCAGGATGCAGGCGTGGGGGGACGAGTGTCCTGCGGGGAGGGCGACACGGAGCCGGCGTCACCCCGTGGGGCGGCCGCGAGAGCCGGCAGCACACCCGCGTTGGCACAGCCCCACGGTCACAGCCCCATTGTCACACCCGCATTGTCACACCCACGTTGGCACAGCCCCATTGTCCCAGCCCCGCTGTCACACCCGCATTGGCACAGCCCCACTGTCACAGCCCCATTGTCACACCTGCATTGTCACACCCGTGTTGGCACAGCCCCACGGTCACATGCCTGCTGTCACACCTGCATTGTCACACCTGCATTGTCACACCCGCATTGGCACACCCGCATTGGCACAGCCCCATTGTCACAGCCCCACTGTCACACCCACATTGTTACAGCCCCACTGCCACACCGCCATTGTCACAGCCCCATTGTCACACCTGCGCTGGCACAGCCCCACTGTCAAAGCCCAAATGTCACACCTGCATTGTCACAGCCCCGCTGTCACCCTGCCACTGACATAGCCCCTTTGGCACCCCACCATTGTCACAGCCCCACTGGCACATGCCCGCTGTCACAGCCCCACTGTCACCATGCCACTCTCACAGCCCCACTGTCACCGTGCCACTATCACAGCCCCACTGTCACCATGCCATTGTCACAGCCCTGCTGTCACCCTGCCACTCTCACAGCCCCACTGTCACCGTGCCACTCTCACAGCCCCACTGTCACCATGCCATTGTCACAGCCCCACTGGCACATGCCCGCTGTCACCGCGCCACTGTCACAGCCCCACTGTCACCGTGCCACTGTCACAGCCCCACTGTCACCGTGCCATTGTCACAGCCCCACTGTCATGCTGCCACCACGCTCACCGGTGTGTGAGGAAGAGGAGGAGGAGGAGGAGTGCAGCAGCGCGTCCTGCCAGCTGGGGCGCGGCGCGGGCGGGGCGAAGCCGCCGTTGTTGTTCAGGGAATCCTGCGGGGACAGCGGGGCCGGGGGGATCAGTGGGGACCCCCCGACACCGGGAGCGCTTGGGGACTCCAGGGGACACCGGGATGGGGAGTGGGAATGGGAGATGGGGATAAGGGGGATGTGGGAATGGGGATGGGGATATGGGGGATGTGGGATATGGGATATGGGAATGGGAGATGGGGGATGGGGATATGGGAATGTGGGAATGGGGGATGGGGATATGGGGGATGTGGGATATGGGGGAATGGGTTCTAGGGGGGACAGGGATGGGAATGGGTGCAGGAGGGGACAGGGATGGGGGGGACATCCCTGGGATGGGGAATGGGAATGGGGGATGTGGGAATGGATCCTAGCGGGGACAGGGATGGGGGGACATTCCCAGGGAAGGGCTCTGGGTGGACAGGGAGGGGAATGGGGGATGTGGGGACAGGGATGGGGGTACAGGAGGGGGTGTTGGGGTGGGGATGGTTCCGGGGGTGTCACAGGGAGGGCTCGGAGGTGCCTGGCACCTGCGCCACGTGCGCAGGTTTATCCGGATTAGGGCCGCCGCATCCCCGCATCCCCTGCCCGGCCAGAGCGCACCAGGGGCCGGGCATGGCATTGCATGGCACGGCACGGCACAGCATGGCACCGGGTGGCATGGCATGGCATTGCACGGCACGGCACAGCATGGCACGGGTGGCACGGTGCCCACCCTGGGGACAAACCCAGCAGCAGCCCTGACCGTGGCACAGCCGTGTGGGACCCCAGGAGCAGCAGGGCCCCAGCCCGCAGGGGTGTGCGGAGCACCCGGGGTGCTCGGGAATGTCGCGCCGGCAGCTGCAGCGGGATTAGTCCCGCCGGGAAACGCGGGCAGCGCTAATCCCGGCAGATCCCAGCACATCCCGGCGGGAGCAGGGATTAGGGAGCACGGCCAGGGCCATGGGGAACCAACCGGGGTGGCCCTGACAGGGACTGTGGTGGGCACTGAGGGGACAGGGAGATGGGAATGGGGGGGTGACAGGGATGGGGGAATGGGAATGGGGAGATGGGAATGGGGGATGTGGGAAAGGGGAGGGATGGGAATGGGGGATGTGGGAATGGGAAGGGGAGATGGGAATGGGGGATGTGGGAATGGGGGATGTGGGAATGGGGGATGTGGGAATGGGGAGATGGGGATGGGTCCTAGCAGAGACAGGGATGGGAATGGGTGCTAGGGGGAATGAGAATGGGTGCAGGAGGGGACAGGGATGGGAGGGGATGGGAGTGGGTGACAAAGGGGATGAGGACAGGCGCTGGAGGGGACAGGGATGGGGGACACGTTGTGGGAGGACAGGTGAAGGGTGGTGGAAGGGTTAAAGATGGGGTACAAGGGATGGGGGGACAGGGATGGGTTCGGGGAACACAGGGATGGCTGCAGGGGGGACAGGGACACAGGGCCCAAGGACCAGGATGTCACCTCCTCCCGGGACCCCGCGATGGGGCAGATCCAGGGGCCCCACCCACCCCTCCAAGAGATGACGGAGCCACGCGGGGACCCCTGGGCTCTGTCCCCTCTCGGTGACCGCCGCCCCCCGGAGCCCCCCCAGCCCGGCAGCGCGGGGCCCTCCCGGGAAAAGGGCGGGGGGCCCGAAATTCCCGAGGGCCCGCGGTTCCCTGGCAACGCCGGCGGCTGCAGCCGCTCCGCACGGCGCTTCCCACACACTGCGGCGGCGCCTGCGCCGCGACACGGGGACATCCCTGCGGCGACACGGCTGGGGGGACACCCCCGGGGAGCCCCGAGCCCGGCAAAAGGGGGGACACGGCGTGGGGGTGGGCACCGGGGACGGAGAACCTCGGGAGGGAGGGGACAGTGACCTCAGGGGGAGGGGACAGTGACCACAGAAGGGAAGGGACACAGATTCCGGGGGGATGGGGACAGAGACCCCAGGGGGAATGGGGACACAGACCCTGGGGGAAGAGATGGGGACAGTGACCACGGAAGGGAGGGGACAGTGACCGCAGGGAGAGGGGACAGTGACCCCAAGGGGGAATGGGGACACATACCCCGGGGGAAGGGGACAGTGACCCCGGCAGAGAAGGGGACAGTGACCCCAGGGGGAATGGGGACAGTGACCCCGGGGGAAGGGGACACCTGCGGCCAGCCCGGCCTCACCTGGGTGCCCGGGGCCGTCAGGTTGAGGGTGGTGGGGCGGTGCTTCTGCGTCTCCTCCAGGGCGGGCGAGGGGATGGGCGAGGCCGAGGGGGACGGCGGTGCCTCCAGCTCGTTGCCTTCCTCCTCCTCCTCTTCCTCGTCGTCGTCGTCGTCGTTGTCGTCGATCATCTCGAACTCCTGGAAGTCGTCCTGGAAGGTGCACACGGGGTGTGGCTGCTCCCCGCGCTCCAGCACCAGGCAGTCCTGCGGGTGGCACCGTGTCAGGGACAAGGGGACAGCCGCGGGCCACCCTCCCTGCCACCGAGGGGTGGCGGCGTCCCCAGTCCCCGCTGGGGCGTCCTAAAGGGGACAAGGGACCCCCGGCTCGCCCCCTTTGCCTCAGCACCCACAGAGCCACCAAAGCCACCGCTGCGGGTGAGTGGCAGCAGCCCGGTGTCCCCACAGCCCCCGCGGTGTCCCCAAGGGCCACCAGGCTCCTGCACCTTCTCGTAGTGGTCCGAGTCGTAGTTGAGGCCGATGCCGCAGTCGTCCGTGATCTCCGACAGGTCCTCGTCATCGAACTCCTCCAGGCTGATGTCCTGGGGGGGCCTGGGGACACAGGGGACACAGCTCAGTGACAGAGCAGCCAGGCCCTCTTCCGTCAGAGCAGAGTGGCACCATGGGGACAGAGGGGACACAGCTCAGTGACAGAGCAGCCAGGCCTTCGTGGCAGCATGAGAGCAGAGTGGCACCATGGGGACAGAGGGGACACAGCTCAGTGACAGCCCAGCCAGGCCCTTGTGGCAGCATGAGAGCAGAGTGGCACCACGGGGACATCCGTCCGTGTATGGGTGACACTCTCAGTATGGGAGCACCAGGGACATGGCACCAGGACACTGTCACCCCTGGGTGCCACACGGACATGGCACCATAGCCCTGTCACCCCTGGGTGCTGGCACAGGACAGACAGAGGGACATGTGTCCATAACACAGGGACACGGCACCAAACCCTGTCACCTCTGGGTGCCACATGGATATGTCACCATAACCTGTCACCCCTTGATGCCAGCACAGGACAACTACAGGGACACGTCACCATAACACAGGCACATGGCACCAAACCCTGTCACCTCTGGGTGCCAACACCAAGAGAACCACAAGGACATGTCACTACAACCCTGTCACCTCTGGTACCACATGGACATCACCATAACCCTGTCACCCCTGGCGCCAGAACGGGACAACCACAGGGACATGTCACCATAACACAAGGACATGACACCAAACCCTGTTATCCCTGGTGCCACATGGACATGGCACCACAACCCTGTCATCCCTGGGTGCTGGCACAGGACAAACACAGGGACATGTCACCACAACCTTGTCACCACTGGTGCCACATGGACATGTCACCATAACCCTGTCATCCTTTAGTGCTGGCATGGGACAGCCACAGGGACATGTCACCATAACACAGGGACATGTCACCACAGCCCTGTCCCCCCTGGGTGCCAGATGGACATGGCACCACACCCCTGTCATCTCCGGGTGCCACACGGATGTGGCACCAAACCCTGTCCCCCCTGGGTGCTGGCACAGGCGAGCCACGGGCACACGTCACCCAGGGCTGTCACCACGCGGTGGCACCGGCTGGGCGGAGGTGCCGAGGCCACCGCATGTCCCAAATTCCTGTCCCTGCAGAATCCCCAGAGCCGAGGTGGGGAGGGGACGGTCACCAGGTCTGGGGTGACCTGTGCTGCTGGGGGGGTCACAGCGGCACGGCTGGGGGTGACAAAGGCTGTGACACCCCGAGAGGCCCTGAGCGCATTCCCAGGGAACGGGGGTGCCATGGAAACCAGCGGCTCCTGCGGGAACAACGGAACCGAGAGAAATCCCCAAATCCTGAAATCCCAAAATCCCAGCAGGGTTTGGGGCTGGAAAACAGAAACTGGGGGTTTGAGGGGGCTCAGTGAGGGGGGAGATACAGCCTGGGTGCCACTGGGACCCTCTGGTCACCCTCCGTGGGGCTGGGGACACCCAGGGCCCCCCATTCTGGTCCCAAGGGTATGTGGCAGTGCCTGGCTGCCACTGAGACCCTCTGGTCACCCTCCGTGGGGCTGGGGACACACGGGACCACCCCCACGGGTGTGTGGCAGCAGCCAGGTGCCAGCAGGACCCTCTGCCAACTCCCCTGGGGTTGGGGACACACAGGACTCTCAGCTGGTCCCCAGGGGGATGTGGCAGCACCCAGGTGGCAGCAGAACCCTTTTTGCATGGGGTTGGGGACACCCAGGACCCCCCATCTTGTCCCCAGCGGGGTGTGGCAGCACCAGGGCACCAGTGGGACCCTGTGCCCACTCTCTGTGGGGCTGGGGACACCCAGGGTCCCCCAGCAGCACCTGGACATCAGTGGGACCCTCTGGTCACCCTCCATGGGGCTGGGGACACCCAGGGTCCCCCATTCCAGTCCCAAGGGTATGTGGCAGTGCCTGGCTGCCACTGGGACCCTGTGCCCACCCTCCATGGGGTTGGGGACACCCAGTGGCCCCCATTCTGGTCCCAAGGGTGCCCGGGTGCCACTGGGACCCTGTGTCCCTCCCCCGGTGGGCTCGGGCAGGTGCGGGGGCTCAGCCCGCAGGGTGGCAGCAGGGTCAGACCCCAAAGGGGACCCAGGGCTGTCCCCTGTCCCCCCCGCGGTGCAGCCGCTGCCGATTCCCTGGCAGGAAGATTCCCCTAATCCCATAATTCCCAGAAGTAGGGCACGGCCGCGCCGAATCCGCGCAGATTTGGGGCAAAAGCGGCAGAAACGGAGCCGGGGCCGGGGCTGCGGCGGGAGCGGGGCTGAGCGGGGCCCCAAAGGACACAGGGGACAGGGGAGCCCTGGGCTGGGGGGTGAAGGGTCCCGGGGTGTTGGGGAGCGCAGCCTTTTGGGGTGCAGAGCCCTGGGGTGCTGGGATGGGAAGTCCTTTGGGGTGCAGAGCCCTGGCGTGTAGGGGAACAGAAATGTTGGGGTTCAGAAACCTTTGGGGTGCCGAGCTATGGGATGTGGAAGTGCAGAACCCTTTGGGGTTCAGAACCCTCTGGGATTTCAGGGTGCCAAACTCTGGGGTGTTAGGGTGCAGAGCCCCAGGCTGTTGGGGAGCAGAAAGCTTTTGGTGTGCAGAACCTTTTTGGGATATTGGGGCACAAATCCTGTTGGATTGTAGGGACCAGAGCCTGGGCCATTGGGGAACAGAGTCCTGGGGTTTTGGGGGGCAGATCCTGTTGGATTAAAGGTCAGAGCCTGGGGTATTGGGGAACAGAGCCCGGGGGTTTTGGGGTGCAGAACCCCAGGACGTCAGGGAGCAGAACCCTGAGGTGTTGGGGTGCAGAGCTCTTTGGGGTGCAGAGCCCAGGATGTTGGGGTGCAGGGCCCTTTGGGGCACAGAGACCTGATTTGTTGGGGAGCAGAGCCCCAGAATGCTGAGGAGCAGAGTCTTGGGGTGTCAGGGAGCAGAGACTTTTGGGGTGCAGGGCCCAGGGGTGTCAGGGACCAGAGTCCTGGGATATTAGGGTGCAGAACCCAGGATGTCAGGGTAGAGATCCCAGGATGCTGGGGAGCAGAGCCCTATGGGGTGCAGAACCTTACGGGGTGTAAAACCATCTCCACAACCCCACAGAATATTGGGGGCTGCCCCCCTGCAGGACCCTCTGCTGTCCCCGGGCTCTTAGGGGGTCCTGTGGGCACAGAGGGGGACAGGGACAGCGGGGCTGAGTCCTACTGGGGTGGGGACCTCGGGGTCCCCTCCTGCACCCCACCCTCAGTGGGGGAGAAACTCCTGATCCTGGCTGGGGGACACGGGAATGGGATGGGATGGGATGGGATCCGTGGGATGGGATGGGGACACTGCAGTGGGGTGGGGACACTATGGTGGGCTGGGAATGGCACAGTGGGATTGGGGTGGTCACAGTGGGATGGGGACACTGTGGTGGGATGGGGCGGATACAATGGGATAGGGGCACTGGGATGGGATGGAACCAGCAGTGAGAGCCCATCCAGCCCCACAATCCTGAGGGAGGGACCCCTCGGGACCAGGCTGGGGCCAAAGGCAGCGCCCTGGCCATGGGTGCAGGAACACAGCACCAGGGATGAGCAGCGGGAACAAGGACAGTGCCCGTCCCCACCTTGGGGACACTCCCGGGACCGGCTGGCACTGAGGGAGCCGAGGGTGGGGACAAAGCCAGGGGGTCTCACCCAGCCCCGCACACACAGAGAGGATCGGGAAGGGCAGGACCAACCCCCCCCCCCCACTCCCCACGGCATCCCAGTGACCCCAATGCCGGGATGGGCCGGAGGGGACCCCAAAGGGGCCCAGCATCACCTGGCGGGGGGCAGGGGGCCAGGAGGGCTGGGCAGGGGACAGCAGCGGTGCCAGCGCTGCCAGGGCCGGGAGGGCTGGGCAGGGGACGGCGGCGGTGCCAGCGCTGCCAGGGCCAGGAGGGCTGGGCAGGGGACAGCGGCGCTGCCAGCGCTGCCAGGGCCGGGCTCCCTCCCCGGGGAGCGCTGCCGGCGGCGCAGGCCCCGGGCGGGTGGAATTTCCTCATCGCTGCCAGCCCCGCTCCCTGCGCACCGCCCGGGGGAGCTCCGAGAGCCAGGACGGGACCCCAGAGCGGCCGGGAGGGGAAGGGACCCCCACAGTGGCCGGGAGGGGACCCCCACAGCAGCCCGGGACCCCTCCCGCTCTGTGCCCGCCCGCTCCCGGAGCCGGCTCTGACCCTGTGGTCATCCCAAATTGGGGACCGGGGGCTCCTGACTGGCACCTGGGGCTGCTACGGCCTGAGCGGGAGGTGGGAGCCTTCCCAAGGCCCGGCTGCGTGCGCGCCTGGAATTCCCTCATCGAGGGAGCATTCCCACCTCGGGCATTCATTCCCACCTCGGGCATTCATTCCCACATCCAGGGAGCATTCCCAGCCCATTCCAGCCTCTCCTCTCCAGCCAGGGGGTCTCACCCCACCGGGCTCCCCAAGCCGGGCTGGGCACCCCCTCCCTGCCCGCGGCTCCTTAGGGAAGGCACAGCCGGGTTCGGGTTCTCCCTCACCATTCCCGGCTGGATCTCGGCATGCTCGGGGAGCCCCAGGGAGCGGCCCCGGGTTTGAGATGGCTCCGGGCACAGCTCCCGCTCCCCGCACTGGGCCCGGCTGCCCCAGGGCCCGGCCCGGGGCCGAGCAGCCCCAGCGAGGCCGTGGCGTCCCCTCCCTGCGCCACCGCGGGCAGGGACACCCCAGGGTCCTGCTGCGCTGCGGCCCGGGAAGGGGACAGCCCGGCGACAGGGACATCCTGGGGACAGGGACATCCTGGGATGCTCAGAGAAGGGGACATCCTGGGCTGGAGATGCTCAGAGAAGGGGACATCCTGGGGATGGGGACATCCTGGGGATGGGGATGCTGAGGGAAGGGGACATCCTGGGGCCAGGGACAGCCCAGAGAAGGGGAGCCCTGCCCAGCACAGGCCACCGCCACCCAAGGGCACGTCCCGCAGCCCCGCTGTCCCCTGCTCCTCTCTCCGCAGCTCCCGCATCCCCGGGGCCCTCCAGGTGCCCCTCACGGCCGCCTCCTGCCCTTCCCATTCCGCTGCCGGGCGCCTCGGCCCCGCAGTGCGCCAGCCCGGCCCGCACCCCGCACCCCGACCCCCGCACCCCGACCCCACTCCCCGCGCCCAGCCAAGGTCAGGAGCGGGGCGGGCCCCGCCGCGTCCCCTCCCCGCGGGACCCCCGGCGGCCCTGCGGGAAGGTGACCGATCCCGAGGCCCCGGTGCGGCGTCCCGGCTGCGGGAACCCCCCCCGGAATCCCCCCGGAATCCCCCCGGCCGCGCCGAGCCTCGGGGGGCGCTGAGCCCCCGCTCCCCCCGCTCCCGGGACCGGCCCCCCCATCCCCGTCCCCGTCCCCATCCCGGGGCCGCTGCGGCGCCTCGGGAGAGACAAAGAGGCGGCGGCGGCTCCTCCCGCAGCGGCCCCGGGATGCGGCGGCCCCGGAGGCCGGGGGGGGCTCCGGGCTCCGGGCCCCGGCCTGGGAAAGGGGACGGAGGGGACCCGCCGCGCCCCCGCCCGCGGCGCTCCGGGGGCTGGATGGCGGCGCCGTTAATGCCGGGAAGGGCCGCGTTGGGGCGGGGGCCGGGAGGAGCCCCCCCGGTCCCGCATCCCAAGGTGAACGCACGGGCGGGGGGAGCGGCGGGCGGGGGGGCCGGGGTGCGGGCCCGGTGCAAGGGCGGCACGGCGGCAGGGGAAGGGCAGCGCGACCCCGCATCCCCCCCGCGCTTCCCCCGCGCATCCCCCGCTCACCGGCAGCCGGGCGGGGGAGAGCGAGTGGAAGGTGGAGAGCGAGAACATCTCGGCGCGATCCGCCATTTTCTCCGGCCGGGGCTGCGCCGGACTGCGGAGCTGCGGAGCGGGGGGGGGAGCGGCGGGAGGAGCTGCGGGAGCGGCGGGGGAGCGGCGGGGGGCGGGAGGAGCCGCGGGAAAGAACGGGGGGGGACGGGGGGGCGGGAGGAGCTGCGGGGAAAACGGGGGGAGAGGGGGCGGGAGGAGCTGCGGGAGCCGCGGGGGGGAGAGGGAGGAGCCGGGAGGGGCGGGGGCGCAGGAGGGAGGGAGGGAGGGACGGGGAGAGGGTTATGGGATGGGGTGGGATGGGATCGGGTGGGATGGGGTGGGATGGGATGAGGGGCGGTCCAGGGGTCTAGAGAAGGAGGGGTCTGGGGGGTGTGGGATGGGATTGGGGGAGTTATGGGAATGGGGGTGGGATAGGGAGGGAATGGGGAGTGGTCCTGGGTGGGCGGGGGGGGGGGGAATCTCCTGAGGCGAGGGGAGGGGAGGGGAGGGAAGGGAGGGGGGAAGGGAAGGGAAGGAAGGGAAGGGAAGGAAGGGAAGGGAAGGGAAGGGAAGGGAAGGGAAGGGAAGGGAAGGGAAGGGAAGGGAAGGGAAGGGAAGGGAAGGGAAGGGAAGGGAAGGGAAGGGGCTTTGGAATGGGGTGGGATCAGGAGGGAAAGCTGGGACGGAGAGGGGCAGGAAGGGGTCGGATCGGGGAGGGGGGACAGGGGGTCAGTAGGGTCCTCTAGGACATCAGGGGTTTTATAGTGGGGGTCAGGGGGTCTATAGGAGGGGTCGAGGGTCTAAAGTGGGGCCAGAGGGTTTATAGGGGTGGCCAGGGGGTCTGTAGGGGGTTCAGGGGTTCTGTAATGGGGCAGGGCGGTTTATAGGGTGGTCGGGGGGTCTGTAGTGGGGCAGGGCGGTTTTATAGGGTGGTCAGGGGGTCTGTAGTGGGGCAGGGCGGTTTATAGGGGTGGTCACAGGCTCTGCAGTGGGGCAGGGCAGTTTATAGGGTGGTCGGGGTGTCCATAGGGTGCGCGGGGCTCTGTAGGGGCGGTGACAGGGCCGGGGGCGGAGCTGTCCGCGGTGCTGAACGCGGGAAAGGGGAACCGGGGCTGTACGGGGAGGCAGAGGGGCTATAGGGGATCGGGGGGGCTCTGTAGGGATCCCGAAGCTCTGTAGGGGTGCTGAGGGATCCATGAGGGGCTCAGGGGGTCTGTGGGGTCGGTAAGAGGGGGACAGGAGCTGTGTGGGAACTGGGAGCAGAGCACAGGGGCTCTGGGGTCTATAGGGGATCGGGGGGCTATAGGGGGTTCTATAGGGGATCTGGGGGAGCCTATAAGGGGGTCAGGTCTCTGTAGGGGATAGGTCCCTATGGGGCGCTCTATGGGGTCGCTCTGTAGGGTCGCTGAGCGGGGCCGGGAGCCGCGCAGGGCCGCGAGCGGAGCTGTCCCTGGTGCTGACACCGGGACCGGACAGCGGGCCGCCGCTGGGGGCCGCAGGGGACACCAGGGACGGTCCCAGTTCGGGGCGCGGGCAATGCGACCCCCCGAACTGCCACCCGTGGGGATGTGGGGTCCCTCAGTGTCCCCCCTGTGTCCCCCATTCCCTCAGTGTCCCCCTGTGTCCCCAGCTCCTGCATGCCACCCCTGTGTCCCCCATGTCCCTCAGTGTCCCCCTGTGTCCCCCCATGTCCCTCAGTGTCCCCACACCCTCAGTGTCCCCCATGTCCCTCAGTGTCCCACACCCTCAGTGTCCCCCATGTCCCAAGCGAGGCTGAGGCCACTTTGGTGCCACCACAGGGCCAAGGGGACACCCAGGGCACCCCAACCCCCACCTCTCTATGACCCACTCCTGCCTGTGCCTCTTCTCAAAATTCCCATCCATCCAACTTCCCATTCCAAACCCTCCCAACATTCCCTCCCTCCCATTCATCCATCCATCCATCCATCCATCATCCATCATCCATCCATCCATCCATCCATCCATCCATCCATCCATCATCCATCCATCCATCATCCATCCATCCATCCATCCATCCATCATCCATCCATCATCCATCATCATCCATCCATCCATCATCCATCATCCCTATCCATCCATCATCCATCCATCCATCATCCATCCATCATCCATCCATCCATCATCCATCCATCCATCCATCATCCATCCATCATCCATCCATCATCCATCCATCCATCATTCCATCCATCATCCATCAACCATAATCCATCCATCATCCATCCATCCATCCATCACCATCCATCCATCCATCATCCATCCATCATCATCCATCATCCATCCATCATCCATCATTCATCCATCCATCCATCCATCCATCATCCATCCATCATCCATCCATCCATCATCCATCCATCCATCCATCCATCCATCATCCATCCATCATCCATCCATCCATCATCCATCCATCATCCATCCATCATCCATCCATCCATCCATCCATCATCCATTCATCATCCATCCATCATCCATCATCCATCCATCCATCATCCATCCATCCATCATCCATCCATCCATCCATCATCCATCATCCATCATCCATCATCCATCCATCCATCATCCATCCATCATCCATCCATCCATCCATCATCCATCCATCCATCCATCCATCATCCATCATCCATCATCCATCCATCCATCCATCCATCATCCATGTCATCATCCATCCATCCATCCATCATCCATCCATCATCCATCCATCCATCCATCCATCCATCCATCATCCATCCATCCATCATCCATCCATCCATCCATCATCCATCATCCATCATCCATCATCCATCCATCCATCATCCATCCATCATCCATCCATCCATCCATCCATCATCCATCCATCATCCATCCATCCATCCATCCATCATCCATCCATCCATCCATCCATCATCCATTCATCATCCATCCATCCATCATCATCCATCCATCCATCATCCATCATCCATTCATCATCCATCCATCCATCATCCATCCATCCATCCATCCATCCATCCATCCATCATCCATCCATCCATCCATCCATCCATCCATCCATCATCCATCCATCATCCATCCATCATCCATCCATCCATCCATCCATCATCCATCCATCCATCCATCCATCATCCATCCATCCATCATCCATTCATCATCCATCCATCCATCATCCATCCATCCATCCATCCATCCATCATCCATCCATCCATCCATCCATCCATCATCCATTCATCCATCCATCATCCATCCATCCATCCAACATCACTCCAACATTCCCATCCACCCCAGCATTCCCAGTTTTCACCCCACTTTCCCATTCCTTTCTTCACCCCAACATTTCCATTCCCAGTTCCCATCCCAACATTCCCATTCCCATCTCAATCCCTCAATCCCAACATTCCCATTCCCATCTCAATCCCAACTTTCCCATTCCCAGTTTCCACCCCAACATTCCCGTTCCCATCTTTGTTCCTTTGGGGTTTTGGGACATGGCCCCACCCCAGCCAGGATTTGGGGTTCTAGGAGCTCCTCCCGGCGTGTTTGACCCCCATTCCACAGGGAAAACATTCCCTGAAAACCGAGCAGGGTCTTCCCAAGCCCAGGATTCCCAAACTCCCAGAGGGAATTGTGGCTTCAAGGGACTTCAAAGGTTTTCCAAGGATAAGCTGGGCTCGATGCTCCTTTGGGATCCCACTCCAGATGTTCCGGGATTCCTCTGGCCCCTGCCAAGGCTTGGCCCCCTTTCCATGGAAAATGATCCCAAATATCCCCATTGGCCCAGGCTGAGGCCACTCCCTCCTTTTCCCAGGGCTCATTCCCTGGATAACTGGGATGTGCTGGCAATTCTCACGAGGGGTGTGAGCACAGAATTCCCCAGATTATTGAGTCTGGGAAAGAATTCCAAGGTCACTGAGTCCAAGCTGGGCCCAATCCCCACCAGAGCCCTGAGTGCCACCTCCAGGAATTCCTTGGACACCTCCAGGGACGGCGACTCCAGAGCTCCCTGGGCAGCCCCTGCCAAGGCCTGAGCCCTTTCCATGGAAAACGATCCCAAATCCCAGAGCTGAGCCTGCCCTGGCCCAGGCTGAGGCCGCTCCCTCTTTTTCCCGGGGCTCATTCCCTGGAGCAGATCCCGATCCCCGCTGGCTCCTGGCAGGAGCTGGGCAGGCCCAGAAGGACATTCCCGATCCCTGCCCCGATCCCGGCAGAGCTGCCCTGGCCCCAGCCCAGGGCACATCCCACTTTTCCCGGGCTCTCCCTGCACGGATCCCTGGCAGATCTCGAGGCACTGCCGGCATTCCATGGGCAAGGATTCCACAATTCCCCAACCCTGGCGGGGCCTGCCTGGAAGGACCTCCCAGCCCATCCCAAGGATCCCCAGGATCCAGGAGATCCCACGGGCATGTCCCAGGAAGTTTTCCAATGGTTTCCATTCCCAGGATCTGGGGAATTCCACCCTGGGTCGATCCCAAACCTTTGGCTTCCAGAATAGATCCAGAGGATCCATTTGGACCCACATGAGCTCTGAAAAATGGGAGAAATTCCCGCTGGGAAAATCCAGCCTGAGGAAAATCCATCCATTCAATTCTTCCTGCTCTCCTTATCCCAAGTTTTCCCTTTTCCCTCTCACTTCCAGCCAAGTCCTTCCCACAGAGCTGCAGGGTCTCCTCATTCCAAATCCCGGCCCCTCTCCGCATCCAACCCCCACCATTTCCCACCCAAACATGGAACATCAGCTCCTGGAGCAGCAGCTGGAGCAGCTGGAGCTGAGATTCCACCCAAAAAAAAAAGGAATTTCCCTTTGGAAGAGGAAAAGCCAAAGCCGGGAAATCCCGGATTCCAGGAGCACCCAGCAGGGCCCAGCCCCGAGCCCCGCCCAGGCCCGATGGAAATCTGGGAAGCAAAGGGAAATCCTCGGGAATGAGGGAGCCCCAGGGCCAGGCCAGGGCTTCCAGAAGCTTCCCTGAGAATCCCGGGATGAGCCAGAGCCCGTCCCAAAGGAGCCCCAGAGCCACCTCTGCTCCAGGCTGAGTCTAGATCCCAAATCCAGACGGAGTTTTCCAGCCCAAATCCCAAACCCCTCCAGAGTTTTCCAACCCAAATCCCAATCCCCTCTGGAGTTTTCCAGTCTCCTCCCACAGCCCTCTGGAATTTTCCAGCCCTTCCCAGCCCTGTTCCCTTCCTGGCCCCATTCCAGCCCCTCCAGGGCTCTCCAGGATTCCGGCTGGGGCCTCACCGGGGCCACCTTTGGAAAATGTGGGAAAACTCCCAGAAAGGTTTGGGATCACCATCCCCGTAGGGGTTTCCATCCCCACAGAGGTGGCACTTGGGGACACGGGGGGTGGCCTTGCCCCGCTGGATCCCAGGGGATTTTCCAGCCTCCATTCCCCCCCCCTGGGCAGGCCGGGATGGCAGCAGCAGCAGCAGCTGGCACAGATGTCACCACCCCCCGTCACCCATCTGTCACCCCCGGCCCCCCCGGCACTTCCCGAGGTTCCAGACATAATCCAGGATCGGGGCCGGGCATCGCTGCCACCCCCGAGCCCGGGAATGTCACACGGGGGGGACAGGGTGACCCCAGGAATGGACACAGCTGGACACGGACACAGGGCGGGCCTGGAGTTTATTGGTGACCATGGGCAGGGGACACAGTGGCCATGGGGGGACAGGGTGACCATGGGCAGGGGGCACGGTGGCCATGGGGGGACAGGGTGACCATGGGCAGGAGGACACAGTGGCCATGGGGGGACAGGGTGACCATGGGCAGGGGACACGGTGACCATGGGGGGACAGGGTGACCATGGGCAGGGGGGCATGGTGGCCATGGGGGGACAGGGTGACCATGGGGGGACACGGTGGCCATGGGGGGACACGGTGGCCATGGGCAGGGGACATGGTGACCATGGGCAGGGGACACGGTGGCCATGGGGGGACAGGGTGACCTTGGCAGGGGGACAGGGTGACCATGGGGCAGTGTGGGGTTTCCAGGGGGGGCTTTGGGGCTGGGGGTGTCTGTGGGGGGGGGGACAGGGCAGGGGGTTTCTGTGGGATGGGAATGGGGTTTTTGGGGGGCATTATGGGGCTGGGGGTGTCTGTGGGGTGGGCACAAGGTGTTTATGGGGTGGGACAAGGCACAAGGTGTGTCCATAGGGGCACTGTGTGTTTATGGGGTGGGCACAGGGTGTCCATGGGGGGTACAGGGTGTTTATGGGGTGGGCACAGCATGTCCATAGGGGTACAGGGTGTTTATGGGGTGGGCACAGGGTGTCCATAGGGGGTACAGGGTGTTTATGGGTGGGCACAGCATGTCCATAGGGGTACAGGGTGTTTATGGGGTGGGCACAGCATGTCCATAGGGGTACAGGGTGTTTATGGGGTGGGCACAGGGTGTCCATAGGGGGTACAGGGTGTTTATGGGGTGGGACAAGGCACTGTGTGTTTATGGGGTGAGCACAGGGTGTCCATAGGGGTACAGGGTGTTTATGGGGTGGGCACAGGGTGTTTATGGGGTGGCACAAGGCACAGGGTGTCCATAGGGGGTACAGGGTGTTTATGGGGTGGCACAAGGCACAAGGTGTTTATAGGGTGGGCACAGCCAGGTCCCCGTGCCCTCACCCCGCTGTCCCTGGCTGGCCGGGGGGTGGCTCAGGGGGTGTCCCCGTTGTCCCCCTGTGCCAGCAGCAGATCCAGGTAGGCCCCAGAGATGAGGTCCTGCTCCCCGATCCCGAATTCCTGCAGCAGCTCCTGCGCCAGGCGCTGCCCGTCCTCCTCGCTCTGCTCCGGCCGCAGCACCACCTGCGGCCACCCACGGTCACCCGGGGCCACCAGGGCCACCAGGGCCACCCGGGGTGCCACTCCCCCCTGTCCCCTCACCTCCAGCTCCAGGAAGTCCCCGAGCCCCTGCACCCGGTCCAGGTGCAGCCGGGTCTGGCCCAGCAGGAACAGGAGCCGCTCCTTCCTCACCGTGCCCAGCACGCCCAGGGACTGCGACAGCACCGCCTGGGGACAGGGACAGGGGTGACACAGGGCCCAGCATGCCCAGGGACTGCGACAGCACTGCCTGGGGACAGGGACAGGGGTGACACAGGGACCCCACAGTGCCCAGAGACTGCGACAGCACCGCCTGGGGACAGGGGACAGAGGTGACACAGGGACCAGCATGCCCAGGGACTGCGACAGCACTGCCTGGGGACAGGGACAGGGGTGACACAGGGACCCCACAGTGCCCAGAGACTGCGACAGCACCGCCTGGGGACGGGGACAGGGATGACACAGGGACCCCACAGTGCCCAGAGACTGCGACAGCACTGCCTGGGGACAGGGACAGGGATGGGACAGGGGTGACACAGGGACCCCACAGTGCCCAGCACGCCCAGGGACTGCGACAGCACCGCCTGGGGCCATGAGGGACAGGGCTGACAGGGGGTGACAGGGGGTGAGACAGGGACCCCACAAAGCCTAGGGACTGGGACAGCACTGCTTGGGGTGACACGGGGACAGGGGTGACAGGGGGTGACACAGCAACCCCACAGAGCCCAGGGCCCATGCCACCACCGCCTGTGGGCACAGGGGGTGACAGGGGTGGCACAGGGGATTACAGGGGTGGCACAGCGGGTGACAAGGTGGCACAGGGACCCCAGCTCTCCCCCAGCCCCGCTCACCTGCAGCCCCTCGGGGTCGGCCGTGGGGGTGATGCTGAACCTGGACAGTTTTGGGGCCGGCGCTGTCGGGGCGCTCGTAGAAAATCAGCTCCCCCCGGCCGTCCTGGGGGCAGCCACAGGTAGGGACAGGTGAGAACAGGGACAGGAGAGCACGGGGACACGTGAGGACAGGGCCAGGGCCAAGCCCCTCCAGCCACCCCTCACCTGTGTCTGGCGCAGCTTGAGCCGCCCCCGCGGCACCCGGAAGAACGTGTCGGTCTGGAGCAGCACCTGCCCGCCCCCGGGGCACACCTGGGGCGGCTCCTGCCCCTCACCTGTGCCCGGTCCGCCCCCGGGGCACACCTGGGGCGGCTCCTGCCCCTCACCTGTGCCCGGTCCGCCCCCGGGGCACACCTGGGGCGGTCCCTGCCCGGCCCCGGGGCACACCTGGGGCGGTCCCTGCCCGGCCCCGGGGCACACGGGGCACACCGGGCCCAGCCCCCGCAGCCTCAGGGCCGCCCTCAGCGCTTCCTCCCGCGCCCTCAGCCGCGCCTTCACCTCCACGTTCCGCCGCATCCCGCCGAGCGCGCCCATTGGCTGCCGCGCACGCACCACCTCCCCGAGGTGGCTTTCTATTGGTCGGTTAAACCGTCAATCAGCGAACCGCGTTGTTATTGGTTAGAGGCTGCCCGGGCGCCGCCCTGGCCGAGCGGAACGGGGCAGGGGCGACCATGGCGGCGGCGGCGGGGGGCCAGGGCAGCGGCAGCGAGGACGGCGATGTCCCTGCCGCCACCCGCCTGCAGGCCTACGCCTGGTGCCGCGAGTTTCTGGCCGGCTCCTGGAAGCTCATCGGCCCGGACGAGTTCGGCATCTGGCCCATCGGGTAGGAAGCGGAACGGGCGAGAGGCGTGTTCCCCCCCCCGCCCTCTCCGCGGTGGTCTCGTCCCGGGGTTTAGGGAAGCGTCCCTCACAGCGGCCCCGGTTACCCCGCAGCGGTGTCCCTGTCCCCTCCCAGTGTCCCCAGACCTGTGTCCCAGTCCCCTCCCAGTGTCCCTGCTGTCCTCTGGACCCAGTGTCCCTCCCAGTGTCCCCGGACCAGTGTCCCAGTCCCTTCCCCGACCCCTTCCCAGTGTCCCCAGCTGCCCCTCCCCGAAGCAGCATCCCTGTCCCCCAGTGTCCCCAGCTGCCCTCGGGGCCGTGTCCCAGTGTCCCCCTCCCAGTCGCCTCCCAGACCATCATCCCTGTCCCCCGGTTGTCCCCACGGACTGGTGTCCTGGTCCCTCTCCCAGCTGCCCCCAGTTTTCCCCCGGACTCGTACTCCAGTGCCTCTCCCAGTGTCCCCAAGCATTGTCCCCCGTGTCCCCAGTCCATTGTCCCCAGTGTCCCCATCCCCTGCCAGGTACCCAGCACATCCTGAACAGGGGTGTGGCTGTCCCCCCATGTCCCCTGCAGTTACCAGTGCCACTTCAGTGTCTCCCCTTCTCCCCCTGGTTCCCAGTGTCCTGGTGCCCCCTGACCCCACAAATCCCACAGCGGAGAACTCCTGTACCAGTGTGCACTGCCCGGGTGGGTCAGTGTCCCCCTGGTGTCCCCAATGTCCCCAGTGTCCCTGTCCCACAGCGGGGGGCTCAGTAACCTGCTGTACAAGTGTGCCCTGTCTGGGGTGTGTCAGTGTCCCCCTGATGTCCCCAGTGTCCCCAATGTCCCCAATGTCCCTGTCCCACAGAGGGGGGCACAGTAACCTGCTGTACAAGTGTGCGCTGTCTGGGGTGTGTCAGTGTCCCCCTGATGTCCCCATGGTGTCCCCAATGTCCCCAATGTCCCTGTCCCACAGCGGGGGGCTCAGTAACCTGCTGTACAAGTGTGCCCTGTCTGGGGTGTGTCAGTGTCCCCCTGATGTCCCCAGTGTCCCCAATGTCCCCAATGTCCCTGTCCCACAGCGGGGGGCTCAGTAACCTGCTGTACAAGTGTGCGCTGCCCGGGTGTGTCAGTGTCCCCCTGATGTCCCCAATGTCCCTGTCCCACAGCGGGGGGCTCAGTAACCTGCTGTACAAGTGTGCACTGCCCGAGATGTCCCCCTGATGTCCCCAATGTCCCTGTCCCACAGAGGGGGGCTCAGTAACCTGCTGTACAAGTGTGCGCTGCCCGAGCACGTGCAGAGCGTGGGGGACGAGCCCCGGCAGGTGCTGCTGCGCGTCTATGGGGCCATCCTGCAGGTGAGGGCACAGCCACACCCCGTGGGGACCCCAAACCCCACGGGGACCCCATGGGGACCCAAGGGACCCCCTGGGATTGGGGATCCGGCTGGAGTGGGAGTGCTGGGGTTGGGGATTCCGAGGCCATCCTGCAGGTGGGGGGGACAGCCACTCCCCGTGGGGACCCCAAGGGATGCCCTGGGATTGGGGATCCAGCTGGAGTGGGAGTGCTGGGGTTGGGGATTCCGGGGCCATCCTGCAGGTGGGGGGGGGACAGCCACTCCCCGTGGGGACCCCCGGGACCCCAAACCCCATGAGGACCCCAAGGGAACCCCCTGAACTCCCTGGGATTAGGGTTTTTGGGTGCCCTCCCTCTGGGGTGGGAGGTGCTGGGGTTTGGGGTTCTGAGGCTCCTTGGGGTGTTGGGTTTGAGGTCCCATTTTTGGGGCGCCAGTATTGGGGGTGCTGAGCTGGGGGCCCGTTTTTGGGGTGCTGGTGTTGGAGTTACTGTTTTGGGGTCTCGGTTTTGGGGTAACGGTATGGGGATCCTGGTTTTTGGGGTCCTGTTTTTGGGTCCCATTTTGGGGATCCCGTTTTGGTGTCCTGTTTTTGTGGTACCATTTTTGGATTTCCTATTTGGGGTCCCGTTTTTGTGGTCCCATTTTTGAGTCCCATTTTTTGGGATCCTTGTTTGGTGTCCTGTGTTTTTTGTGTCCCAATTTGAGATCCCGGTTTTGGGGATCCCATTTTGGGGGTCCCATTTTGGTGTCCTGTTTTAGTGGTCCCATTTTTGGATTTCCTATTTGGGGTCCCATTCTTGGGGATCCCTGTTTGGTGTCCCGTGGTTTTGGTGTCCCAATTTGGGGTCCCATTTTTGGGGACCCCATTTTGGTGTCCCGATCTGGGATCTGGTTTTTGGGGATCCCTGTTGGTGTCCCAATTTGGGGTCCAGTTTCTGGGGATCCCTGTTGGTGTCCCATGTTTTCTGTGTCCCGTTTTTGGGGATCCCTATTTGTGTCCTGTGTTTTCTGTGTCCCAATTTGTGGTCCCATTTTTAGGGATCCCTGTTTGGGTGTCCCGTGTTTTTGGTGTCCCAATCTGTGGTCCCATTTTTGGGATCCCTGTTTGGTGTCCTGTGTTTTTTGTGTCCCAATTTGGGGTCCCGTTTTTGGGTCCCATTTTGGGATCCCTGTTTGGTGTCCTGTGTTTTTTGTGTCCCAATTTGAGATCCCATTTTTGGGGATCCCATTTTGGGGATCCTATTTTGGCATCCCGTGTTTTTGGTGTCCCAATCTGTGGTCCCATTTTTGTGTCCCATTTTGGGGATCCCTGTTGGTGTCTTTTGTTTTCTATGTCCCAATTTGTGGTCCCGTTTTTGGGTCCTGTTTTGGGGCTCCCTGTTGCCGTCCTGTGTTCTTTGGGATCCCGTTTTTGGGGATCCCCTTTTGGTGTCCCATGTTTTTGGTGTCCCAGTCTGTGGTCCCGTTTTTGGGGATCCCCGTTTGGTGTCCCATGTTTTCGGTGTCCCAATCTGTGTCCCCGTTTTGGGGCGCCCCTGTCCCCCTCTGCAGGGCGTGGACTCGCTGGTGCTGGAGAGCGTCATGTTCGCCATCCTGGCCGAGCGCGCGCTGGGGCCGCGCCTCTTCGGGGTGTTCCCGCAGGGCCGCCTGGAGCAGTACCTGCCGGTAGGATCGGGGTCCCCCGCGCCCCCCGTGCCCCCCCCGGGCACCCCCAACCCCCCCGTGCCCCCCCAGAGCCGGCGGCTGCGCACCGAGGAGCTGCGGGACCCGCGCGTCTCGGCCGAGATCGCCGTCACCATGGCGCGCTTCCACGGCATGGCCATGCCCTTCAACAAGGAGCCCAAGTGGCTCTTTGGGACCATGGAGGGGTGAGGGGACCTGATCCCACTGGGAGAGGGGAGGGGGGACTGAAATCCCACTGGGAACAGGGGGACCTGATCCCACTGGGAATGGGGATGGGGGACACAAAATCCCACTGGGAACAGGGAATGGGGTCAGGGGACCTGATCCCACTGGGAATGGGGAGGGGGGGACCAAAATCCCACTGGGAACAGGGGGACCTGATCCCACTGGGTATGGGGATGGGGGACCCAAAATCCCACTGGGAACAGGGAATGGGGTGAAGGGACCCAAAATCCCACTGGGAACGGGAGCAGGGACCAAAATCCCACTGGGAACGGGGAGGGGGGACCAAAATCCCACCGGGAACAGGGAATGGGGTGAGGGGACCTGATCCCACTGGGAACGGGGAGGGGGGACCCAAAATCCTACTGGGAACAGGGAATGGGGTGAGGGGACCCAAAATCCACTGGGAATAGGGAGAGAGGACCAAAATCCCCCTGGGAATGGTGAATGGGGTGAGGGGACCTGATCCCACTGGGAACAGGGAAGGGGGACCAAAATCCTACTGGGAACAGAGAGTGGGGAGGGGGGGGACCCAAACCCCACTGGGAATGGGGAATGGGGACCCAAATCCCACTGGGAGCAGGGAGTGGGGTCCCCAAAATCCGATTGGGAAGAGGGAATGGGGTGGGAGAGCTCCAAATCCCAGCGGGATCATGAACTTGTGAGGGGGGACCCAAGTCCCATTGGGATCAGGGAGTGGGAACCCCAAGTCCCATTGGGATCAGGGAGTGGGGACCCCAAATCCAGCAGGTCCAGACCCCAGGGGTTTCCTAGCTGCTTCCAGAGGGTCCTGTGTGACACAGAGGGGACAGTGGGTGGCCTTGGGGTGGCCCTGGGGTGGCCGGGGCTGGGCAGGGAGCTCCGGGGGTTCTGTCCCCATGTCCCCACTGTCCCGTGTCCCCAGGTACCTGCAGCAGATCTCAGAGCTGACGTTCTCAGAGCCGTCACAGCTGCAGCAGCTGGAGCAGCTCCGGGGCTACAACCTGGAGCAGGAGATGAGGAGCCTCAGGTCACTGCCACCCCCTGAGTGTCCCTCTGCTGTCCCTTGTCCCCGCCCGGCCCCGCGGCGTCCCCAGGGCAGCGATGCTGTGGGGCCGGGGCGTCTGTGGTTCTGTCCTCCCCTCTGTCCCTTCTGTCCTTTCTATCTCGGGTCCCTCGTGTCCTCCTATCCCTGGTGTCCCCCATGTCCCACATATCCCTGTGTGTCTCTGTGTCCCTGGTGTCACCTGTGTCCCCCATGTCCTCAGGGTGACCCTGGTGTCTCCCCTGTGTCCCTTGTATCTGTGTCACCTCTATCTCCTGGTGTCACCCATGCCTTTTGTTCCTCTGTGTCCCCATGTCCCTTGTGTCCCATATCCCTGCATCTGCCATGTCCCCAGTGTCCCTGTGTCCCCCATATCCTTGGGGTGCCCCTGGTGTCCCCTGTATCCCCCATATCCCCGTGTCCCCATTTCCTTGGACCATCTCCATGTCCCTGGCGTCCCCATGTCCCCATTTCCCTGGATTCCTGTGTCCCCAGTGTCCTTGTATGGCAGGTATCCCCCTTGCCCCCAAAGTCCCTGTGCCCCTATGTCCCCGTGCCCCTGGTGTCCCGCCATGTTCCCATATCCCAGGACCCCTCCATGTCCTTGGGCTGTCCCTCATGTCCCCATGTCCCCATACTCCTGGTGCCCTCCCATGTCCCCAAGCTGTCCCCGGGCTGTCCCTCTGTCCCCACCCTGGTCCCCCAACCCCTCCCCGTGTCCCTTCTGAGCCCCTCTCGCCCCTCAGGGACCTGCTGGAGGCCACCCCGTCCCCGGTGGTCTTCTGCCACAACGACGTGCAGGAGGGTGAGTGACACAGGGTGGCCCTGTCCCCCACATCCCCCAGATCCCCCAAAACCCCATAAATCCCCCAAACCCCGACCCCACAGGGAACATCCTGCTCCTGGCGGGGCGCGAGGCCTCCTCAGACCGGCTCATGCTCATCGACTTCGAGTACAGCAGCTACAACTACCGGTGGGCTTGGGGCCCCTGGGGGGTTTGGGGGGGTCCCTGAGGGGATTTGGGGGTCCCTGAGGGGATTTGGGGGTCCCTGAGGGGATTTGGGGGGTCCCTGGTGTTCCCTCATGTTCCATGATCCCACTGGGATTTCCCCACTCCTGCTCACGTTCCACGGTCCCGGTGGCATTAGGAGCTCCCCCTCACAAGTCCCTGATCCTGGGGGGATTTGGGGGTCCTGCGGGGATTTGGGGGATCCCGGGGGGGGGGGGGTCCCTCACACTCCGTGATCCCACTGGGATTTGGGGGCTTCCTGCTCATATTCCTGGTGGGGTTTAGGGGCTCCCCCTTCTGAGTCCCTGCTCTTTTTTTAGGGAGATTTTAGGGGGTCCCTGGGAGCTTTTAGAAGCCCTTGTGGGGATTTGGGGGTCCCTAGAGGATTTGGGGTCCCTACAGGGTTCCCCACACTCCATGACCCCACTGGGATTTTGGGGCTTCCTGCTCATATTCTGTGACCCCGTTGGGATTTGGGGTTCCACCCTCCCTGCTCCATGATCGTGATGGGATTTGGGGGCGCCCTGTCCCCGCTCCATGCTCCCAGTGGGATTTAGGGCTCCAATCCCCTCTCCACACTCCCTGTGGGGTTTGGGGTTCCTTCTGAAGGCTCCCAGGTGGGTTTGGGGTGGCAGTGGGGTCAGTGCTGATCCCCAGTGATTTTGGGGCTCACAGTGGGGTCAGTGCTGATCCTTGATGGGTTTGGGGCTCACAGTGGGGTCAGTGCTGATCCCAGTGATTTTGGGGCTCACAGTGGGGTCAGTGCTGATCCCCAGTGATTCTGGGCTCACAGAGGGGTCGGTGCTGATCCCAGTGATTTTGGGGCTCACAGTGGGGTCGGTGCTGATCCCTTGATGGGTTTGGGGCTCACAGTGGGGTCAGTGCTGATCCCCAGTGATTTTGGGGCTCACAGTGGGGTCAGTGCTGATCCCCAGTGATTCTGGGGCTCACAGAGGGGTCGGTGCTGATCCCCAGTGATTTTGGGGCTCACAGTGGGGTCGGTGCTGATCCCTTGATGGGTTTGGGGCTCACAGAGGGGTCAGTGCTGATCCCCCAGTGATTTTGGGGCTCACAGAGGGGTCGGTGCTGATCCCCAGTGATTTTGGGGCTCACAGAGGGGTCGGTGCTGATCCCCAGTGATTTTGGGGCTCACAGAGGGGTCGGTGCTGATCCCCAGTGATTTTGGGGCTCACAGTGGGGTCGGTGCTGATCCCCAGTGATTTTGGGGCTCACAGAGGGGTCAGTGCTGATCCCCAGTGATTTTGGGGCTCACAGAGGGGTCAGTGCTGATCCCCAGTGATTTTGGGGCTCACAGAGGGGTCGGTGCTGATCCCCAGTGATTTTGGGGCTCACAGAGGGGTCGGTGCTGATCCCCAGTGATTTTGGGGCTCACAGAGGGGTCGGTGGCTGTGTGACCCCCCCGCTGCAGGGGGCTTTGACCTGGGCAATCACTTCTGCGAGTGGGTTTACAGCTACAGCCACGAGGGCTGGCCCTGCTTCCAGGCACACCCCGAGCACTACCCCAGCCGCCAGCAGCAGGTCTGGGGGACCAGGACCCCTTGGGGGGGGCTTTTGGGGTCCCGGGGGGGTCCCTTGGGGCTGGAGGGTCCCTTTGGGGATCCCTGGGGGTCTCTGCTGGGTCTGGGCAGGGGTGCCTTGGGGCTGGGGGAGGGGTTCTTTGGGGGCTGGGGGAGGGGTTTCTTTGGGGTCTGGGGGTCCCTTGGGGCCGGGGGGTCCCTTTGGGGATCCCTTGGGGGGTCCCAGCCCCAATCCCAACCCTTCCCACCCTCCCCAGCTCCATTTCATCCTCCAGGTTTTTCACCTGTCCGGGATCTCGGGGAGTCCCAGGGCTGGGCAGGGGCTCCTTTGGGGCTGGGTGGTCCCTTTGGGGTCCCAGGGACATTCCTTGGGCAGGGGTCCCTTGGGGCTGGGGGTTCCCGAGGGATCCAGTCCCTGCTCCCAGCCCCTGTACCCCCTCCATAGCTCCATTTCACCCGGCATCACCTGTCCCAGTGCTCAGGGGTCCCTTTGGGGCCGGGGGGTGTCCCTGGGGTGTCCCTTTGGCACTGGGGTGTCCCTGGGGTGTCCCTTTGGGGCCAGGGGTGTCCCTGGGGTGTCCCTTTGGGGCCGGGGGTGTCCCTGGGGTGTCCCTTTGGCACTGGGGTGTCCCTGGGGTGTCCCTTTGGGGCCGGGGAGTCCCTTTGGGGTCCCTTTGGCACCGGGATGTCCCTGGGGTTGTCCCTTTGGGGCTGGGGGTGTCCCTGGGGTGTCCCTTTGGCACTGGGGTGTCCCTGGGGTGTCCCTTTGGGGCCGGGGGTGTCCCTGGGGTGTCCCTTTGGCACCGAGGTGTCCCTTTGGGGTCCCTTTGTGGTCCCAGCCCCGTGTCCCCCCCAGCTCCATTTCATCCGCCATTACCTGTCGGCGGCGCTGTCGGGCGGCGCCGGGCGGGCCCCGCAGGAGGAGCAGGCGCGCCTGGAGGAGGAGATGCTGCGGGAGATCGAGCGGTACCGCCGGGGCACCGGGGAGGGCTCCTCAGGGGATGTTTGGGGGGCTTTGTACCTCTGTTTGGGGCTCTCTGTGCCACTTTCGGGGTCCCATGTGTGATTTTGGGGGTTTTTATACCTCTGTTTGGGGTTTCCGTGCCACTTTTGGGGTCCTCTGTGCCAAGTTTTGGGTTTCTATGACCTCATTTTGGGTCTCTGTGCCATTTGGGGAGGGGGGGGGGGTCCTCTGTGCCACCACAGAGGTCCTCTGTGCCACTCTTGGGTCCTCTGTGTGGTTTTTCGGGGTCTTTGTACTGCACTGGGGGTCTCTGTGCCACTTTGGGATGTCTGTGCCACTTTCAGGGTCCTCAGTGGGATTTTTGGGGGGCCTTCTACCTCTATTTGGGGCCCTCTGTTCCACTTTTGGAGTCTCTTTACCTGTATTTGGGTTCTCTGTGCCATTTTTAGGGTTCTCTGTGCCATTTTTAGGGTTCTCTGTGCCCCATTTGGGGTCTCTGTGCCTCTACTGGGTCTCTGTGCCCCCGTTTGGGGTTTCTGTCCCTCTTGGGGGTCTCTGTGCCATTTTTAGGGTTCTCTGTGCCCCGTTTGGGGTTTCTGTCCCTCTTGGGGGTTTCTGTGCCATTTTTAGGCTCCCCTGCCCCACGCCCCCCCTCCCGTGGGTGTTTTTGGGGTGCCCGGGGGGGATTTTGGGGTCTCACCCCCCTTTTCCCCCCAGCTTCACCCTGGCCTCACACTTCTTCTGGGGGCTCTGGTCCGTGGTGCAGGCCAAGATCTCCACGATCCACTTTGGGTACCTGGTGAGCTCTGGGGGCCGCTGTGCCCCTGTGGGGGGCTCCACGACCCCTGAACCCCTTTTAGGCCCCTTCTCCCTTATTTCCCCTCCCTCCCCTCATTTCTCCCCCTTTTCACCTTTCCCCTTTCTTTCATTTTCCCATTTTGCCCCCCATTTTCTCCCCATTTTCCCCACTTTTTCTCCCATCTCCCCCCTTTTATCCCCCCTTTTCCCTCTTCCCTTGCCCTTTCCTCCCTCTTTCCCCCATTCTCCCTTTTTCCCCCCCTATTTTCCCCTTTTCCCCCCCTTTTCTCCCCCTTCTTCCCCCCCTTTCCCCCCATTTTCCCCTTTTCCCCTTTCTTTCCTTTTTCCCAATTTGCCCCCCATTTTCTCCCCCTTTTCCCCAATTTTTCTCCCATTTTTCCCCTTTTATCCCTTGTTGTTTTCCCTTTTCTCTCCTGCCCTGCCCTTTCCTCCCTCTTTCCACTTCTCCCTTTTTTCTCCCCTATTTTCCCCTTTTCCCCCCCTTTTCCCCTCATTTTCCCCCTTTCCCTTTTCTTTCCTCTTTTCCCAATTTGCCCCCATTTTCTCCCCTTTCTTCCCAAATTTTCTCCCATTTCCCCCCTTTTTTCCCCCCTTTTTTCTCCCTTTTCTCTCCTTCCCCACCCTTTCCTCCCTCTTTCCCCTTCTCCCTTTTTCCCCCCATTTTCCCCTTTCCCCACCTTTTCTCCCCCCTTTCCCCCCTTTATCCTATTCCCCCCCTTTTTAACCCTTCCCTCCCCTTTTTAACCCCTTTTCCCCCCTCTTTTGCCCATTTCCCCCCTTTCATTCCTCCCTTTTCCCCCTTTTCCCACCTTCCCTGCCCTTTCCTCCCTTTTCCCTCTTCCCCCTTCTCCCCTTTTCCTCCCCCTTTTTCTCCTCCTTTTCCTCTCCCTCCTTCCCCCCCTTTTCCCCCTTTCCCTCCTTTTTTGCCCCTTTCCCCCCATTTTTAACCCCTTTTTTGCCCCTTTTTCCCCAGGATTACGCCCAGAGCCGTTTCCAGGCCTATTTCCAGCACAAGGCTCGCTGCTCCTGAGGGGATCCCCCAAATCCTGCCCCCCCCGGCCTCTGGGGGGGCGTTGGGACGGTTGGGGGGGTTGGTAACGGTTTGGGGGGGCCCTGACAGTTTGGGGGGCACCACAACGGTTTGGGGGGGCTGAGCCCCGGGACCCCCCCGCACCCCGGGACTCGGCAGCAGAGGTGGGTGGGACCCCCCCCATAAGGGTGGGATTTGGGGCGGGGGGCTCTGGGGACCCCCAGATCCGCACTCCTGGCCAGTAACGGGGGTTTGGGGTGGTTTTGGGGGGGTTTGAGGTGTGGCACAGGGGGTGGGGGACCCCGTTTGTACCTCAGTGCCCCCCGCGCCCCCCGCCCACAGCTCTGGGGCCGGGGCCGCTCCCGGGGCCCCCGTTTCGACAGCAGAATGTAAAACTCAGACCAATAAAGCCGCGCTGGGGCCGGCGCTCGAGTCCGCCTTCCCTAATCCCGCCCCAAATCCCACCCCTTCGGATTCCTCCATCCCAAATTCCCCCCCAAAATCCCGCCCCAAGTATCACCCCTTCAAATTCCCCCTTCCCAAATCCCGCCCTAAATCCCACCCTAAATCCCGCCCTCTTCAAATTCCTCCATCTCAAATCCCGCCCCAAAATCCCGCCCCCAAAAATCACCCCTCAAATTCCCCCTTCCCAAATCCCGCCCTAAATCCAACCCCCTCAAATTCCCCCTTCCCAATTTCCCCCCTCTCTGCAAATCCCACCCCCTCAAATTCCCCCCTTCCCAAATCCCGCCCTAAATCCCACCCCCTCAAATTCCCCCCGCCCCAAATCCCGCCTTCCCCAAATCCCACCCCCAAATTCCCGACTGCTGCTTCTGCCCCCTCCCCAAATCCGCCCCCCGGGACCCCCCAATCGCCGTGGGGCAGAGCGGGGGAGGGGCCGGGGGGACACAAGGGACACACGGGGGGGGTGACATGGGGGGGTGACATGGGGGGGCTCTTTGGGGTGGGGGTCCCGGGTGCTGGAGACCCCTCCCCGTGTCCCCTCAGCGTGGGGCAGGGGACAGGCAGGTGACAGCCGGGACAGAGGGCAGGGAGTGGACAGGGGACAGGGAGGTGACACTCGGGGTGACGGGCAGGTGACAACCGGGACAGGGGCCAGAGGTCGGGCAGGTGACAAACAGGTGGCAGGCAGGTGACAGCCAGTGCAGGGAGCAGGTGACAGGCAGGGCACGGGGCCGGTGACAGGCGGGGCACAGGGACAGGGACAGCAGCCACTGCCCCGGGCACGGACACCCGGAGCCCCCAGACCCCGTGGCAGAGCCGCTGTCCCTGTCCCGGGTCCGTGTCCCTGTCCCTGATGCATGTCCCTGTCCCAGGATGGGAGTCCCTGTCCCGGGTGTGTCTCCCTGTCCCCGTGCGTGTCCCTGTCCTGGTCCGTGCGTCCCTGTCCCGTGTGTGTGTCCCAGGATGTGCCCCTGTCCCGGGTTCGTGTCCCTGTCCCTGATGCGTGTCCCAGTCACTGATGCGGGTCACTGTCCCAGGATGGGAGTCCCTGTCCCCGTGCCTGTCCCTGTCCCCGTGCCTGTCCCTGTCCCATGTCCCTATCCCGTGTCCCTGTCCCAGGTGCGGGTCCCTGTCCCGGGATGTGTCCCTGTCCCGGGATGTGTCCCTGTCACGGGACGTGGATCCCCCCGGGATGTCGCTGTCCCCGTGTCCCCCCGGGGTGACGCTCTGTGGCCCGGGCTGTCGATGACGCCCCATCCCGGGGATGCCCGTTCTGTCCCGGGATGTCCATTCCCGTCCCGGGACAGGGGACCCCCGGGTATGTCGGGGTCCGTGTCCCGACATGTCGCTGTCCCCCGGTCGGGAATTCCTGTCATATTCCCGGGATGCCGCTGTCCCCCGGGACACCGCTCCGTGTCCCGGGATCCGGGTCTCCCCGCGCTGCCGCTGCCCGTCCCGGTGTGTCGGGGTCCCCCCGGGTGTCGCGGTCCCCCCGGGGGCGGGGCGGCTCCGGGCCCGCCCGGCCCCGCCGGTGTCCGGTTACCGGCTGCCGGCTGCCGCGGCCGCAGGAGCCGCCGTCCCGCGGAGCCGCGGCCCCCGCGCTGCCCACGCAGGTACCGGGCCCCGGGGAGGGGGCGCGACGGGACCCACGCGCGGGGGCGCCCCCGGTACCGGCATCCCCCGGTCCCTCCCGTGGCGTCGCGCCCGGTGCCGCCTCCCACGCGTGTCCGTGCGGAGCCAGCCCCGCGCCCCCGGCGTGTCCGGGGGTCCCCTCCGCGGGTGCCCTGGCGGTGTCACCGCCCGGGGTCCCGGAGCGGGGCCCGGCTCCACACGGGGCGGGGGGGGACAGGCGGGGCCGTCCCGGGGCTGCGCATCCCGGCCCCGGAGCCGCGGTGACCTTGGGCGGGGCGGGGGGACACGGCGGGAGTGTCCCCGGTGCCACCCGCCGCAGGGGGGCGGGCAGGGCCGGGCCGGGCCGTGCCACGGTGCCCCGCGGGGTGACACAGGGCGGTGACACAGGGCGGTGACACAGGGCGGTGACACACAGCCGGGCAGCGGCACTGCCGCGGCGCCCTGCAGGGCTCGGGATGTGGTTTAATGCCCAGGTGTGCCGAGCCGGGCCGGGCCGTGCCGTGGGGTGCCATGGGGTGCCATGGGGTGCCATGGGGTGCCGTGGGGCGCAGGGTGGTGACCGCACGAGGTGCAGAGGGCGCAGCAGCCCCGCTGTGATCGGGTCGTGGCTGTCACCCTCAGCCCAAGGCCACCGTGGGAAAGGTGCCCGTGTTGGGGACAGGGGGGTCACCCCCCGACGCCCCGGGGCTCGGCCCTGGCTGTGCCCGCACCGGGGGGTCCCAGAGCCGGGGGTGTTTTGTGGCAACCCCCGGAGCGGGGGGGGTCTCCAGGGTCCCCCGTGGTGTCTCAGGGGCTTGGTGGCACCCCGAGCCCCCCGGCCGTGTCCGTGCCGCCCCTCCCGCGCTCCCGCAGGGGACGCGGGGCAGGGGACGGCGTGTGCCACGTGCGGGGGCGCGGGGGCCGGGCTGTCCTCCCCGATGTCCCCTCCGGGGCCGCGCTGGCGGCGGTGACAGCGCTGACCCTTCCCTCAGTGGGCGCCGGGCCAGCGCCACGTGACGCCGCCGTGACACCGCCGTGACGCGGCCCGGGGCTCCCGGGGGCCGCCGCCGGGCTGGCCCCGCCCCGGGGACACCGGCCGGGGCACCGCCGTCCCCTCCGTGCCCGCGGTGCCCCCTCCGCCCCCAGGTCCCGTGCCGGGGGTGGCCGTCCCCCCGCCCACCGGCCCGGTGTCCCCCCGCAGGTGTCACCGGCGGGTCCCCAGGATGGCGGAAGCTCACCAGGCCGTGGCCTTCCAGTTCACGGTCACCCCCGAGGGCTTGGACTTCCACCTGAGCCGCGAGGCCGTGCGCCAGCTCTACCTGGCCGTCGTGCACTCATGGAAGAAGCGCTTGGTCCGCGCCAAGGTGGGCTCGGCCGCCCGCGTCCCCTCCCGTGGCGGCCGCCCGTGCCCCCGTGACCCCGCTGTGCCCACAGAACAGCTTCCTGACCGGCGTGTACCCCGCGTCGCCCTCCAGCTGGATGGTGGTGGTGATGGCCACCGCCGGCTCCTGCTACTGCCAGGTGGACCCGTCCCTGGGGCTCATCGCCCGCATCCAGCACTGGCTGCCCCGCAGGTGAGCGGGACACGGCCCGGGACACGGCACGGCCAGCGGGGGGGGGACAGCCCGCAGGGACCCCCGGCAGTGTCCCAGGGACAGACCCCAGACCCAGCGTGGCCGTGGGGGCCCGGGCCAGCCCTGGGGGCTCCACCCTGCACATCCCCATCCCATTGGCGATGTCCCTCAAGGGGTCCCACCCCACGGAGGGACCCCAACCCCCAGAGGGTGCAGGAGGCCTGTGACATCTCCATTTGGGGATGTCCCTCAAGGGGTCCCACCCAGGGCACAGCCTTGTCCCACAGAGGGACCCCCACCCCCAGAGGGTTCAGGAGACCTGTGACGTCTCCATTTGGGGGATGTCCCTCAAGGGACCCCACCCCATGGAGGGACCCTGACCCCCAGAGGGTGCAGGAGGCCTGTGACGTCTCCATTTGGGGATGTCCCTCAAGGGACCCCACGCAGGGACATCCCCGCGGGTCCCACTCCACAGGTACAGCCCCACCTGGGGACATTCCCTGGGAGTGCCACCAGGGGCACAGCCCCACCTGGGGACACCCTCCAGGGATGCCACCCGCGCTGTCCCCAGCGCTGAGGCCGTGTCCCCCGCGTGTCCCCAGCGAGGCGCTGACCCCCCAGGCGCAGACCGTGGTCAGCACCGTGGTGTTCTCCACGGGGGCCTGGCTGGCGGCCGTGCTGCTCTTCCGGAGGCTGCTCCGCCTGCTGCTCTCCTACCACGGCTGGATGTTTGAGCCCCACGGGCGCATGAGCCGCAGCACCCGCCTCTGGATTGTGAGCGGCACCCGCACCGGGAGATGCGGGACATGTGGGGGCTTTGGGAGGTGTGGGGGCTTTGGGAACTGTGGGGGTTTTGGGAGGTGTGGGAGCTTTGGGAACTGTGGGAGCTTTGGGAACTGTGGGGGCTTTGGGAGGTGTGGGAGCTTTGGGAACTGTGGGAGCTGTTGGAGCTCTGGGAGCTCTGGGAGCTCTGGTGCTGTGGGAGCTTTGGGAGTTTTGGGTGCCGTGGATGCTTTGGGAGCTTTGGGGGCTGTGGGAGTTTTGGGAGATGTGGGAGCTGTGGGAGTTTTGGGAGATGTGGGAGATGTGGGAGCTTTGGGAGTTTTGGGTGCCGTGGATGCTTTGGGAGCTTTGGGGGCTGTGGGAGTTTTGGGTGCCGTGGGAGCCACAGATGCCATGGAGTTGTGGAAGCTGTTGGAGTTGTGGGAGCTCTGGGACCTGTGGCTGGTTTGGGAGCTTTGGGTGCCATGGATCCCATGGGAGTTGTTGGAGCTGTGGGAGCTGTTTGAGCTGTGGGAGATGTGGGAGCTTTGGGAGATGTGGGAGTTTTGGGAGATGTGGGAGCTTTGGGAGTTGTGGGA